ATAATCTTTACTTCCGTCGATTAAGACAGGACAGAGGCGTGAGTCACATTGAGGGATTAGATATTAGAATACCATAAATAAAATCTAACCAACTTTAATTTTCTATTCTTAAACTTTTGCATGTACGTGAGGTAGTGATTGTGTAAGATTACAGCTCTATAACATTTCGCCGTCTTTACGGGTGATCCGATTTGACTATCCTGGAACTCCTTGCACAAAGACGTCAAGAAGACATACAATAAAATTTCGTTGAAAACACTAGTTCTGGTACAACAGCATTAAGTTTATTCAAATATGCGCAAGTCAAAATCTACACGATCGCTCCAGATCGGCGTAATATTGACGCACACTACAATGTTCTCTCTGTGTACTGTGTACTCTGTGACTGCATAAGCGCTGGACGACTAGTACGATTACTTACAAGTAATGAGTACCCAAGATTAAAGGTTATCATACCTATTCAAGTTTAATTAGTTATTTTATAACAATAATTTGCCGAAATCTAACGACTGGTTACGGAAACAAAAAGCGAAGAATTGATTTATAAATATTAAATACACTAGCTGGCCCGGCACTCGGTCATTCTGCCCTCTGAGGCAGATGGAATTGGATATTATTCTACTCTTTGACTCCAAGTGACGCCCAAGCAGAATGCATGCTGTATACGAGCTGTATTGAAGTTAGTTTTTATACTAGAGGCTGTATTATCTGGATTTATAAAAGCTGTATAAGCCCTTATACAGTTCTTATAAGTAAAAAATTGGCACAAATTATGCAGTTTTATGCGTTAGTAGTGCTGTACAGTAACCGTACAAGCATTAAAGAGGCTATATAACTGCTGTATTGCAGCTGTTATTTGGCGTGCAAGGAAACTATTACGAGTACACTACTAATATTGTCTTTTAAGTAACTTTTAAAGATAAGCGTTCTAAATTGATTTTTAAACGGAATTACAAATCAATATAAAACAAAAAGAACGTTATTTTCGATGACTAGATTGTATTTATATACTTTACTAGCAGTGCCCCGCGGTTTCACCCGCGTATATCACGCGTCTGCGCCTTGCGACATGCGAACTTCCAGAGAGACATCACGACGGACGGTTGCTGAATTAACAAAGATTTAAAAAATGAAATATGTTACAAAAATTACATGGTTAACGTCATTGGTGGTTATGCATGATACAGGTATTGATACGAATAATGTGGCCTAGTTTGTACCGGCGATACTTCTTCACATTTTAACATGAAAAAGTAGTTATTGTGACATAACTGTAATAGTTAAACATATGGTATCGCAGACTTTTTTGTAGATATTGATATCCTCTATAAAACTGAAGTACATTACTCTCTTATCAATAGTTCATTTGCTCTATTATCAATAGTTTTCGCAGCGTACGCGATATTATAAGGATTCTTTTTGGTATTTTTTTCACACCTTGGGTTACATTAACGAATTTTTCATACGGATCCCTAACTTTTTTGAAAATATTATTTAGTCTATGTTCATCAGGGATAATGTAGGATTCTAATGGTGAAAGAATTTTTCAAATCGGTTCAGTAGTTTCGGAGCCTATTCAATTCAAACAAACAAATCTTAATAGTAGTGTAGATTGAATGATGACGACATTTAATGTCTGTCTTCGGATTGAAGTTGAGTTTTGACGGTTATAATTAGTGAATTGAAAGTGCAAAGTTAGATTTACAGCAAAATAACAAAATAATATAAGGACAAAATACTAAATACGGTAACTAAATATCGGTTGTATAGGTTAGAATTAAAAAAAAATATGGATATGGTGGCACATTAGGACACAGTAATCATTAGTAAAACTGAAAGTAATGGTATAGCTGTACTATCGACTTCCGGTCTGAGCAGGGGGGGGTGATGTGGCGGCGCTGTCGTCGCGCCACAAGCGAAACACATCGAAGCCTAAATCGCACTAACAATGTTCCGAAGTTAAAGCAGCTTATATAGAATAGCTCCGAACTACCAATCGGAGCGTTGGCCGCTCCCCGGGCAGAACACCTTGCCCGGCGGGAGATCTCCCCTTTTCCTTCTTACAGCTACACGTTAAACATATTGGCGCAAAACTTTCTGCCAGAACATCCGGCGCTAGAGATTTTTGGTCTCTCGCCAAAGCGGTCGAGACAAACTTCTGTTGGCCTACAGTGCCTCCGCTGGTAAAACCGGATGGCACACTGGCGCATACAGCTAAAGAAAGCGGCTACGGCTAATGTTTGATATTCCCAAAATTATATTTTAAAATTTGTTTTTATGTGTAATGGCGACAATTCGCTAAGCAGACTAAACGGTATTTCGAGGGTCTTATAGTCTTAGTAGCTGTATTATGCACTTATGTTATGGATTATATCATGCAGCCATTGGTTTATAATCAGTTCTATAATAGGATATTTTTATTATTTACGTACCAGTATAGCAGTTTTTTCAACATAACATATAATTCTGTTTAGAGATACGTAAAAAAGATGACAAACCTTGTCTTAGAAACAGTGTTGGATAAATTTAATTTAGATTTAACATGATCTTCTAAACTTCTAACTGCACCAAATATTTTTCATTTTTTGCCACATGTTGACACAAAACAAATTAATTTTGTTCACTAACACAATATAAACACGCAACGCATGCAAAATGGCGATATTCTATCACTTATATACAGACTTAAGTTGTACATACTACGGCAGTTATTTATATTTTTTATTTTATATTACTCAAGTCATAAAACTACTGTATTTACAAAAGTGTACAATGACACCATAAGAATAAGTTTTAGAAGAGAGTTTGCATACACAATTGTTCAGAAATAAGATTTTAGTGATACTGTAATAAATTATGTTCAGCAAATAAAATATTATTATTATTATTAAAACTTTGAGCCGTATAAGCAAGAGAAAGCATGCAAAAAACAGCTTCTATACAACTTTAATGATAAAATTAGATTGAAGTGTTACAAAATACTTATAGTTGTATAGTAGAGTTTTCATATTCTGATTAGGAACACTAAGCTTACTTAGATCCCATAATACAGACTTTTATTATCTATTGAGTAGAACGATCAAAAGTCCCGGCGATGCTGACCTCCTGCAATCTGACTTAAACAAACTCATGGATTGGTGTGCAATCAACGGAATGGTTTTAAATCCTAATAAATGCTACCACATAAGCTACACCAGAAAAAAGACGCCCCTTCACTACTACCTACTCATTGGGTCACGTGACCTTGGCGGAGGTGAGGGAGATCAGGGACCTTGGTGTCTTGTTGGATTGTAAACTGAAACTGACCGCTCACACTGATAATATCATCAAAAAGGCGGCTCGTATGTTGGGATTCTTAAAAAGAAACGCAAAAGGCTTCCGATGAGTCCAAACTAAGAAGGTTTTTTTTAATGCACTAGTACGTAGCCACCTCGAATTTGCAAGTGTCGCATGGAACCCAGTCTATAGTGCGTCTTCTCAGCAAATCGAAAAAAATCAAAGGGTTTTTACGCACTACCTTACTTTTTCGACTCCAGGCATATCGAATAGACACTCCCATAGTCAGAGACTAGCATTTTTCAAAATGACGACCTTACGTGACCGACGTCTCATTGCAGAGTTAATGTTTTTACACAAGTTACTGCATAACAATATCTAAAGTACGCACTTCCTCGATCACATCAAATTAATTATCCCGTACAGATATCACCGATATACAATTCGCAAACTATTTAGCATACCTAGCCACATAACAAATTTAGGCGCGCATTATCCCCCAGCCAGAATATGTAACACATACAATGAAATTATGATCAAGGTACCGGACATTAACATTTTCAACAACTCTGCCCGATTCTTCAAAAAAAAATTGAACAATTACTTTTCACCCTCCCAGCACACACTCATTCCTTAATTAGTTTTTTCTTAATTTAAGTTATTTTGTATGAAGTACCATTATACTATAATAAGTTACACATTACGGTAAATGTTGTGTATACCAGTTATAATTGGCAAACATATGTTTCATGTGTTTTGCTGTTGGTGTACCTTATAAATAAATTTAAAAAAATACAGACTTTATACAACTTGAGCTATATAATAATTCATAAACCACTCTTATAAGAATACAACCTCTTTTCAACGCACTTATACGCTTTTAAAAGAACTCTAAGTTCTATGTGGGCTGGTATATTGATGTTCATAACGCTTGTGTGCTGCTTGGGCGAGGTCGTACATGGAGGATGACGGGTTAATTCGGACTGAAGTAAATTAAAATTTTATTTTCGTTCCGAATTCATTCCGGGCTTTTTATACGCTAATATAAAATTTATTAATCAAATGACTACGTTTACGACGCAAGGGCGTCTCTAATGAGGGATCGAATGAGGCTTCGCCCGAGGAGCTTGTTGAGTAGATATCCTGCAACTAAATTATGGTTGTAGCACGAATGGGTCGGCTCTATCGGGTAAAGAACACACTCTTACAAAATAGTACCAGCGTAAAATAATGCTGCTGTGGTTCGTATGGTGAGTGTAGAGAACATCTCTCTTTTTACTGGTATCAAGACATTTCATCTTAGCCATCAAAGTTGGCAACGCATCTGCAATATTAATTCTTAATCGAGGATAGATGCCTATGAGCTACACCATTGCTTACCATCAAGTGAGCTGAGTGATTTCTATAAAAAATAATATAATCCTATTAGTGCCGTTGACCTTCAGTTAATAGCGAAGGAAACCTATTGTGTATACTAATTTTGTTCGAAAACCAGTCAATATTAGCGTTAGCACATTACTACCAAACCGTCTGTATGTCAATATTTGTTAAGACTTAAAAGTACATAGTTCCTAGTACAATATAAGGAAAAGTCTTGTATATATTAAAATGTCTATTTACAAAAATTTGGCAATTAGTGCTCGTATTGGTTAGAGATTTTTAATATTTGATTTATCAGTATCAGTCTTTGATATACAGGTTCTTTGTACATCAATGGTATCATCAGTAGGAGCCGAGCTGCCGACGCATCAACATGTGGAAGCTGTTTGTGTTATTCTCGCGTAAGTTTTTTTGGTCATTATCTTTTTATGTCTGTTTCATTCCTGGTTTTTTCCTTAACGACTTTTTTTGTTGATATCAGAACATTTCTAAGAAATGGCAAAGTTCTACAAGTATTAGTTATAGTTATTTTTTAAATATTTTTATGTACATATTTGTAAAAATCTATCGTCTATAATCTAACCGTCTTATTTATAAAAAGTTACAAAAAGAGATTAAAAATTAAAAAAAAGAGATTCTGCGAACAACTCCGTAAAACAACTGTGATTCCGCATTGCAATAATTAACAAAATTGTTCAACAAATTTAGAATTAGAATGGTTCAAGGTTCATTAAATTAGAAGGTTAGAATGACTCCCTACAAAAATATGGGATTGTAATCGACTATTTTAGTCACTTGAAAATAAATTAATAAGAGGTCTATTTATTGCTTAGTGATTATCACAAATCGGCTAAATTATCTTACAAGAAATAAGCAAATCATTCGTGTTAATATTTTTCAATAATGATAACATAGTACGAATGTTTTACTTTTCTGCCGACTTCCAAAAAGGAGACGGTACTTTTTTTATTACTTTTTATACTTTTTTTATTAATTCGGCAAGTGGATTGATGACAGCTACTAGTCGTTCACCTTTGATACTGCCCCTCCACATTGTCAGTATAGACATAGGTTATATTATATTATTTTATATTCGACTGTATTTTTTTTGGTTTTTTTTTTATATGTGTTACCTCATAACTTTTTACTGGGTGAACCGATTTCGATGATTCTTTTTTTGTTTGAAAGCTGATACTTCTCTTGTAGTCCCATATAAATTTGATCAAGGTCGGACCCATAGTTTTTGAGTTATTCTTAATAACTTACATTGAAGTCGGCTGTACAAAATTTTTAATTTTAAATTATGTTTATAATCTTGCACGGTAGATATTTTTTAAATGTGGAATGTTTTAGTTGCATATGCATTATATATAACCTATGTCTATACCGACAATTTGGAGGGGCAGTATCAAAGGTGAACGACTAGTAGCTGTCATCAATCCACTTGCCGCATGGCGATTGTTGTCAATACTCATTATGAAGAGAGGATTGTAAATAATCGCCAATGTATGTCAATGTGTGCGTGCCAATGAATAATCGCCACACGCCCATATCCAGTGGAGAACTTTTACGGACTAATAAAAAAGGAGACATCACAATTAACAAATTACAGCAATACAAAAAGCCAGTCATGCTGGGGCCACAGTATCGAGAAACGTCAATGCCCATAAACGCAACAATTATTGCCTTAATTTTAACGCGATAAACTGAATGGCCACACTTGGAACGGTCAACGTCATTTCAATTTCAATACCGTTGAACGGCGTTAAAGTTGACGTTAATGTTCCTTGAATATATTTTATTATGTATAAATTGTTATTATATGAATATATTTTATGATATTATATTTTTTTATATTTATTTAAATGAGTTCTATAATAACCCATTATTAGGCTTGCCTTCTTCGTTTTCAAAGGTAATAATTGCATTATTCATCGCCAAGCATTATTTTGCGATGTACGATTCTTAAAAATTTGAGTCTCGGATCCTACAAACATGGCTATGTTTGCAGAATCTCAAACGTAATAACTTTTTCAATATTCCACTCCATGGCCATACGTGCGATCCCGTTGCGCTCACCGTCCACAACACAATGAGACAAACGTAGTGTGGCCGCTTCAACGCGTTAATTCGTGCGTTAATCTCTTTGATGTAGCGCCACTCGAGTTACCGCCCAACGGCAAATGGCATTGTTCGTACCGTTGAAAACTTATCGCGTTAAGTAGTGGCCACACCTACATTAAACGCCCATCAACGCGATAATTAACGGCATTTCTCGTTAGTGTAGCCCGGGCATCCGACTGTGTGAGTGTGTGTGTGTGTGTGTGTGTGTGTGTGTGTGTGTGTGTGTGTGTGTGTGTGTGTGTGTGTGTGTAATTTTAGTTAAAAAATGCAATGATGTGGTACCTACAATGGAACTGATATGATGAATGAACACGAGTGTTGCCACAAACAACGCCTTTAAACTTATTTTTAAAAAACGATATAAAGTACGTGAGGGTAATATGGTGATCGGGTTAATATGGTGACTTTCTTATAACTCAAAAACTACAGCCTAATTTGCATAATATTAAGAAAAAAATAGCAAACTAGCTTTGGAAATAATTAGGAACATTTCGAAAAATCTACTTAAAAAAACTAACTACACTACACAATACAAAAATCGATTAAAATATTTACAATAATATCAACTGTCAAAATGGCGTCGATAAAGGAGCGCCTTTTTGACCCTTTATTATTTGATAGACTGATCAACACAGAATACGAGTACCCTGACAGGCTATCGTGTCACAGAGCGTTCTATGCAATCGACGCTGTAGTTTTTGAGTTATAAGAAAGTGACCATATTAACCGGATGACCATATTACCCTCACGTACTATAGTTAGTTTTCTTTTAAGTTGATTTTTCGAAGTGTTGCTAATTATTGCCAAGGCTTGTTTGTTATCTTTTTCTATATTAGTTATAGTATACGACATTGTGTATTTGTCTCTGTCCTCCTAGTTTTGGTTTTATGGGGCGGCAAAGCTTAAGGTGGCCATATTACCCTCACGTGCCTTAATAGTTTATTTTGTTTACAACATAAAGTTTGGGAAACAAAGCAGATGGGGAACAGCATCTGCCTAGTAACAACTGGAAAATATAAAAACTGCGGTTGCCGACCTGCCTGCCAAACGTGGTAAATATGGTAAATAGCCCCCTAGCCATAGCAGACCACGTATGGAGAGGCCGATATTTGGCTGTGAATTTTGGCGCCACAATCATAAAACAATATATTATACAACATTTTTATTGCACTTTTAGTTACCTTCGCGAGTGGTGATAACTACTTTTCCCGTAATGAATACAAAAGGACGCAACTGGGAAATGCAGTGGACAAAGCCTCTATGAGATTGCTTAAGGTATAATGCCCTTTTGATTTTTTGTACAGTGACATTTCTTTATACCATGTTGTACAATATTGAAACATCTTATTTTTTATTTTCATAAATCATAGACTTATAATATAATAAAGTTTTGGACCCAAGGTTTTTCCTCATAATTGCGCATGTGTGTATTACTGGTTCTGCCTTTCTGTACAAGTCGTGGCACGTAAGTCTAGCGCTGAACGAAACATGGAGGGGACGCACTCGAATTGAATTGCATGAAAAATAGGCACGAGCCAATCATCGCGACTTATGCGCAATAAGCCAATCAGCGCGACTTATGCACAATAACGGTCACCCTAGACTTTCGTGCTGCTACTTGGTATGAGTATTTACTTCAGCAAATCTGAACATAGAAGTTTCTTTCTGACAAACGCTTCTATTATCTGAGTGTTTCATACGAAAAAAGTAGTCTTTTAATAAAAAGCCGCCTTCAAAAGCTAAAAAGAATAAAAATATTTCACATTCAGCACACTAAGACATGTTGTATAGAAGAACTTCAAAGGTGAAATTATTTTATTTAACTTTTTTTAAAGTTATTATTTTTTAATTTTGGAGTGGACTAATCACGATCTCAGACTCGTATATAGTAACATTAAAAACTTCATCTCCTCTATCGCAGAAGCAATATCCAATGAATAATCCCATGAATGATAAAAAATAGACGGTCGGTCAAGGTGAAGTCAAGGTCGAGTCGGTATTTCTACTCGTATTCAAAAATTTTTATTTGGAAAATATCTTTTTAAAGAATACCTTTTTAGTTCTTTGAAACCTGGTTTTACTTTTTATGTAAAGACTAATTTTTGACTTGGGAAATACGTCACGCGCGAGCCTGTTTCACCGGTTTTTGCTACCTCGGATTTTTATTTACAGACCTACTTAGAGGGTTGTATTGATGATTATAATGATTATAATTCTGTAAATACATATTCATTACAGTCGCGAATCATATTTTGTTAAACATACGACTTGACACTGACCTGCAAATTGCAAAAAAAACGTAAGAAAATTTGAATTTGGCGGGCTACCCTGTCGCTTTCATCTTAAGGTGGATGCTTTAATTAATTATTTAATGTTAAAAGAAAAATTGAACTTTTAAAACCAAAATAGTACCTCACTGTAGTAAAACATTAAAATATAATAATTATTATCAGTCTTAATGCATATTTCATGCTCGTGACATGCATGATTCAAAATTAGTTGTTAAAAGTTATTGCTGTGCCTCTAAAACTTGCCTACAATATATAAAAGTTAAAGTTACGGCCTATACACAGGCCTCCTCTCATTTCTATAATACAATATATACCTACCATAAACTCAAAGGGCGAAACCTTATGCTAGAACTGGGCATATAGTTACACAAAGGGACGACATTCGTTGCAGGCTGGCTGAAATTTTAACCATAACGCCTTTTGTTGTTTATCGTCGTTTTTGAAATAATATGATTGAATAAGAATCTTTAATTGATATCTTTCCTATTGAATAAAACAATTTAAAAAAATATTGTGCTTTTATTAAAATAGAACAAATTTTAAACATTGAAATTGGAAGTAAAAGGCAGTTAATACGGGCATCCACCCTATTCCAAATAACAGGTTGATGATAATTTTGAAACCCTCGCGATGTTTGAAATAGCGTCGAAGATTTTATCAAATCAAAACCCGCTGAGTTTCTTTCGTAATGGTATTATACGTCAGCTTACTGAAAAGTGGTTTTTGAAAATACGAGTAAATAAGGTTTCTTTTTTTGACTTTTATTTGAAATTATCCCAAATTGAATGTGATTATGGGCAACAGCGTTTTTGCCAAGGTAGGCATCAACCCTTACGAATGTGTGTATGCACAGTAAAAACAGTTAAAATAATGCATTACCATGCATTTTAAATTTAAAACATAAAAGTGACAGAATATTTGAGATTTTTTTTAATTAATTTTTCTTCGCCATTTGCCTATATTAATTATTCTGAACCTTCTCTGCGAATTTTACAAAAATAAATTAAATATTACGACGAGACGTAAAATTTCACGGATATTATAATATTTATATCTATCTATTCATATGATATATTATATCTTTCAGGATTTGTATGATGAGAGCACAGACAAGAATGTAATTTCCTCCCCTCTGGGCGTCCTAATGCTGCTGTCTCTGTACTCCACGGGAGCGAGTGAAACAAACAGAGAGCAAATAGTAAAACTCCTGGGCCTACCAGACTACAAACAAGTAAGTTTTGGATAAGTTCAATGCTCAATAATGCATCCCATAAATCACTATTGGTACACAAAAATAAATTTTATGTAGCCTACACAATTAATGAAACCTGTTGAGCACAGTAACAATTACATTTATTTATTTAATTGATAAAATTTCTGAATTAAAGCATAATAAATTAAAGTAATAATAATATTAAAATAATATCCAACCTCTATACTGTGGTTTACTGTGGCGGCGGCTTAACGAGTTTCGCCAGTGAGCCAATGACTTTATTATATTTTTATATATAATTGAAAAAAGTTTAATTAAAATATGAGACTGTGATCATAGAATGTGATAATACAAGAATATACTTCTCTACCCACTTATTCAGACATCCTGAACTCGTCGTCGTCATCGTAAACGGAGGCTACCATCAACTTTTAATTTTTTTATTCAATGTGTACTCCCCATTGTTTTCGTTGTTCTTTTTTAATTAATGTTTTGGGGCCGTTTTTTAATTTAAAATTATCTTAGCTTTCTTCGACACAAACATCTTTTACTTATCTACTTAAGTAACTTTAATATCATATTTTAACTTAGTTACAAAAAAAAATCGAATGGTTATTTTTGCGCTCGTAAAACTTTGTTTAGATTTAAGTATCTCTGAAAGAGAATCTTTGAATGATAAAGCGAATAAAAAATTGGATCAGCGCTCTTTGAACAACTTGCAAGTTTGGCTTCACTAAGTTCTAAGAACAAACTTAGAACTTAGTGAAGCCATTGATCATGAAGACATATAGATAGAATACTACCGCAAAATTTAGGGCATACTTCTTTTGTACACGGTGCACCTTTTTATACTAACGCAGTAAATCGCGCGATCGACTGTACTGATAACGCGAAATACATAAAATGTGCAAAACCGAATTACTATATTATTATCAAAGTCTAGTCTACTATATGACCTATTATCACTTATTTATATTTATTTAATAAAAATAAACATTATCCTCTCATCAGGAATTCATCCTGTTATGAAAGCATTTTACGTATATATTTGGTCGTCGAACGAAAACGGAAAATTGCCATATGGCCCTCAACGCTCCGTCACGTTGCGTTGTACAATTACCGTATAACCCATCTATATTAAAAAGAAAACATATTTTTTTCTTATCCTCTCAGAAATTAGAGACCTGTACCATACAGTAGGGTGTTTATAAAATGTTTATTCATTTTTATACCTTTCTTAATAAATAAATATACTTTTTCAGATGACGAACTCTTACAGCCTGTTGTCCGAAAAGTTCAACTCCATGAATCCCGACTTGCTAACTCTCGCTAACAAAGTCTACGTGTCCAATCGGTTTGCCTTGAATGACCATTTCTCTACTGTCGCCACCCGGGATTATTACAGCGAAGTGGAAACCCTCAATTTTACTGATTCTCAGGCCGCAGCCGCGGCTATTAATGAATGGGTATGTTATTTTCCCGCGTATGTTAGTAAATCCGAAAACGCCGTGTAGTGGCGTTGAAAAAAGAACCATTACCCATTAGATAGATAACGATATTCAGTATATTATCCCATTACGCCAGGTGTAATATACCCAGACCAATGTCGGGGAGCAGTGACAAAGGTGCAAGACGTCTGTAGATGTCCAGCCAGGGACTTTTATGGGCGTTTGATGTACGAGATGAAGAAGAAGAAATCAACAAATCTGAGACCATTTTATTTATATCATCATAACCAACACTAAACAGTAGTCATGTGAAATTGTCTCGTGTTAAATACCGTCCTTGAAGGAATACCCTTATCGTTACAGTTACAGCTTATCAAAATTCCACTGCGGAACATAGGCCTCACCTATAGATTGCCTTATAGAGGGAATAAGGAGGAATACATGCCCACATAATTTTCTCATAAAATATAATACATGAATTTTTTAAAAGTCACCAAGATTAACACCAATTATTACTTGTTATTATGTCATTTTCTGAGTTTCATAGCTCACTAGACGCAATCTTAATTTAATTACCTGCTACCTAAAATGTTCGCAATCCGTACAACTGTAATTATCTAGATCGCATCATCATTCGAACTAGAACCGATCATCATTTTCAGGGTTAATTTGTTTATTTTTTAATGTATTGCAATGTTTTCTAGGCGGATCGGAAAACTCATGGTAACATAAAGAACCCGGTGTCTGCGGACATATTTACTCCAGACACAGCGGCAGCACTTTTTAATGTAATTTTCTTCCAGGTAAGAGAATAATATAATTGCTATGTTTTAAAATATTCATTTAGCTCCATAGATTTGTATTTTTATAAATTGTGATAAAATACTGTTGTTCTGGTCGACACATTCTTAATTCGAATATTATGGGAATCTATGAACTATTTCTCGACATTCACTGTTTGCCAATCAACAAGTTTAAATGTATAAAAAGGGTTGTTATATTAATGAGGAATTCAAGAATAAAAAACCAACCCCTGTAAATGAGGTGATCGCTACCATGCTGACTTTTGTAATTCATCATCAACAGTCGCAAATCATTTAATGAATGGGCGACGGTAGGAATTTATAAAAGTAGGCGAAGGTTATACGAGCTTTATGATGAAAGATCATATAATAGTAGTGTTATATTTAGAGATTATGTAAAAACATATTCTAAAATATTTAAAAAAGTATGCTCCACTGCTAAGGCTTTACATTTAAGCAACAAAATTAAAACTGCATCCGACAAAATTAAAATGACCTGGAGAATAATAAATAGTGAAACGGGCAAGGTCAAACCGCGCAACTCGGATTTTCAATTGAATATTAACAATAATTTAACGCGATCTGATCAAGAAGTTGCTATGGCTTTTGAGAAACATTTTACTGATGTTCCTTTTTTGACAACAAAATCATTAAATTCTTCTCCTACTGTCGCCGAATCATTGCTCAAACAAAATGTAAAGGCTTGTTCAAATACTTTTAAATTCCATAGGGTACTGCCAAAAGATATCGTTAAATATTTTAAAACTATTGATGTTAAGAAAACGGCAGACTTATGGGGGATTTCCGTTAAAGTTATTTTATCTATAATAGATACATTAGCACCTTATCTAGCCACTATATTTAATATAAGCGTCGAATCTGGTGTGTTTCCTGATTTAATGAAACATAGTAAAGTCATACCTATATTTAAATCTGGTAGTACATTAGACCCCGCCAATTTTAGACCAATTTCTGTACTACCAACATTAAGTAAAATTTTTGAAAAAATTATTTTAGATCAGATGTTAAGTTTCTTTAATATTAATAAATTGCTACATAATAATCAATTCGGTTTTACAAGGGGTCGCTCGACAACTGACGCTGGAGTTGAGCTTATTAAACATATTTTTTGTGCATGGGAGAAATCAGAGGATGCTTTGGGTATATTTTGTGACCTTTCCAAGGCCTTCGACTGTGTTCACCATGAGACATTAATCAGGAAGCTACAGTACTATGGTGTCAAGAACACAGCGCTTAAACTTATTATTTCATATTTAAGTAATAGAAAACAGAAGGTTATTATCAATGGTAAAAGTTCTTCCGGGTCACCTGTACTAATGGGTGTACCTCAGGGCTCGATTCTCGGCCCATTCCTGTTTCTGGTGTATATTAATGACTTACCTCACCTTGTAGGGGATAGTCATGATATAGTATTATTTGCTGATGATACTTCCTTGATTTTTAAACTTAAACGTCAATCATTTAAATGTGACGAAGTGAATAATGCTATATCAAAATTAGTGCATTGGTTTAACGTTAATAATCTGCATTTGAACGGAAATAAAACTAATTGTGTTAAATTTACAACAACGAATGTTCAAAATCTGAATACCAATGTGTTTTTAAATGGGGAGGAATTGAGCCCTGTTGTATCCACTGTTTTTCTTGGCATCACTCTTGACGCAAAGCTCCAGTGGGGCCCCCATATATCCAAATTAGCAAGCAGACTAAGTTCTGCAGCCTATGCTGTAAAAAAGATTAGAGGTCTCACTAGTGTCGAGACAGCTAGATTAGTTTATTTTAGTTATTTTCATAGCATAATGTCTTATGGGATTTTGCTATGGGGAAATGCGGCTGATTCAGAAACTATTTTTGTTTTACAGAAGAGGGCCATTAGAGCTATTTACAATCTAAAACCGAGAGAGTCTCTTAGAGATAAATTTAAAGAAATTAATATATTAACTTTGGCCTCTCAGTATATTTACGAAAATTTAATGTATGTTCACAAAAACAAAGATAGTTTTAGTAAAAGAAGTGATATACATTCTGTAAACACTAGGAACAAACACAAGCTAGTGATACCAGTTTCTCGACTCCACAGAGTCAGTAATTCATTCTTGGGGCAATGTATACGCTATTACAACAAGGTCCCGGAAAGTGTACAGGTTCTCTCTATTACCAAGTTTAAATGTTTTATTAAGCTGAAACTGTATAAAAAGGGTTATTATAGTATAAATGAATACATGGTTGATAATAACCCCTGGGAATGAGGTGATCGCTTCCAAGCAGTTTCTAAAATAAATTTTGTAAATAGTTCGTAATCATTTATATTGTAAAATTAATTTAAAAAAAATGTCCCGCTGGGTTTCTTGCTGGTTCTTCCCAGGACAGAGGGTTTTTTTCGAATCAGTGGTAAAGTAAAAAATGACTTTCAATAAGAATTACACATGTAATGTATATTGAATAAAAAATATTCTATTCTATTCTATTCTATTCTATTCATATAAATATTTCTATAAAATTATTCTAAACAGACGGGACGAAAACAACGTCACCAGATCTGAAACCAACAATTTGTTTTGCACAAATATTTACATCAGTTGGGATTCAAGTCCAGGATCTGGAACGTATCTAATAGCTTTATGCTGGGTACTAAAAGATACTAATAAATTACCTAGAATCTTATTGTTACTATCATGTAGAAACCGACGCGTGTGTAACTGTTATTAGCAAAAATTGTAACAATAGTATTAAAAATTATTGATTCTGTGTCTAGACCCCTAAAGTGTATGGACTCATGGAGTCATGTTGATTTCTTATATTTACGGGAACACTACATATTGAATGAAACTAGTTTTTTACGTATTTTATCGCGTTTAATATTATGAATTAAATGCGATAAAATCCGTAAAAAAGCTAATTTTATTCAATAAAAAAATGATGAGTTCGAATACCTTAAGAATACCTTCGAGTAACACTGTTGTAAACCGCTCCTAGCAAAAGCATCTTCAGCTTAGTAAGAGAGGTTTATGGAAACCCTAAACGCTTATGGTAAGGCCTGCCGCCATTTTAATATTTTTATTAAATAAAAATTAATGTTTGTTTTTTCGTATTTTATGCCTGTCATACCGTTCATCAGATTACGCTAAAACTTTGTCAACGTATTGCTTACAATTGCGCTAAAAGTATTCTGTGGGTTATACGCATAGTATATATAATTAACTTACAACAGATGGCGCGCGTATCGTACCGAAAAATTTATAAATGATATATCACTTCAATGAATGTATTGTCATTCCTAATTAAACAATATAACTCTTTCAAATTTAAAACAATATTACCACAATTATTTTTTCTGTGACAGCAACGCGCCGCGTACCAGTTAGTCATGATATAAATAAATCAGCAAACGCAGCTAGTCCATAAAATTATAAATAATCTTACTTTGTTATACTATTTTGTATGTTATTGTATGGTATGTTATTGAAATAGACTACTATGGGGTAGGTTTTGGGTGGGCCTATATTTTAGCAGTCAACTTAATTGTGAAAAGAAGAAATATTTAATTTTTTAAATTTATTTATTATAAACCGGTGCTTGACTACAACAATCACACCTAATGTGAAGTAGTGATGTGGACCTAAATGATAAAACATACACACTTATCATAACAAAAGCAACTCTTGCCTTTGTAAAGGACAACAATACAACTTATTTTTTGAATTTCTGAGGTCTAAATGCAAAGCGGAATGTCAGTTTGAGAGTCAAATTGAAGTGTCTATTTGTAATGTCAAAATTACAGCTTTTTACTAATTGCATATGAAAGTATATACGGTACTTATAACAAAAACACAATTTGTAAAATTTTTGTCTGTTCGTCTGTCTGTCTGTCTGTTTGTTCCGGCTAATCTCCGAAACGGCTGGACCGATTTTGACGGAACTTTCACTGCCAGGTAGCTGATTTCATAAGGAGTAACTTAGGCTACTTTAATTTAGAAATAGAATTAGGGTTCCGCGCTAAAACATAAAAACCCTAACACGCGAGCGAAGTCGCGGGGAACAGCTAGTATTATAATGTTAATAGAATCCATAATTTTTTTAAAGAAATAGTATTTTTTTAGATAGTATTTTTTTATAGGATCGGGTGACAAACGAGCACACAGTCCACCTGATGGTAAGTGGATACCTACTGTGACCCATAGACATCTACATCTATCCTCAATAAAGACTCAAGATGCAGATGCGTTGTCACCCGTGAGGACTAAGATGGAATGCCTCTTTGCCAGTAAAAAGGGTCTCCGGTTCTCTACACTCACCATACGATACACAGCAGCGTTAAGCTGCTATTTTACGCTGGTTTTCTGTGAGAGCATGGTCCTTCCCCGGTCGAGCCGACCCATTCGTGCTACAACCATAATATAGCTGCAGCATGGCTCTACCACGTATAAAGTAGTAGATAACAATGTTTTAAAAATCCGCACAATAGAGATATTAACAGACTTTTTTTAAAAGAATAAGGGTGACAAACAAGCGTATATCCACCTGATGTAAATTGATGCACACAGCATCCTGTGGACACAGTGTCCTATAGACAATTACATTTATCTTTTGTTAAGAATCAAAATGCAGATGACTTGTCACCCCTGAGGACTATGATGGAATGCGTTCTTTCCAATAATAAGGGTCTAAAATGTTAATCCCAACCGGCACCACTGAAATACCAGTATTGTTTAGAATATTGACTTATTCAAAATGATGGCCAAAATTGGCCAAAATTATTTATCGCAATTATGAGTACCTAAGGTACGTGAGGGAAGAGGACAGAGACAAATACACAAGTACTATAAATATTATAATAAGAAAAATGTAGCAATAAAGCTTTACCAATAATGAGGAACTCCTCGAAAAACATAACTTTAAAAAAAAAACTAATTACACTACACAACATTAAATCGACTAAGGCCCGTATTAATAAATGTTACTCAGCTCAAGTACACGCACTTGAGTACAATCTCGAGGTTATGATCTTATTAATAAACATATCTCAAGATGCGGTTTAGGTTTACGATATGAGGTGAGTGCTGCACTGATTAATAAACGAAACTCGACTCTCATGTGTGTGTTCTTGAGTGCAAGTCACAGAACAGTAATCCTAAGTACAGCGTTTTGAGATACTGTTTTTATGTGTTTATTAATTAGCAACGATCTTGAGATGCTGATATCGTGATGAGGGCGTGTCAAATGATGAGTAACGTTTATTAATACGGGCCTTAAATATTGAATATAATGTCAACTGTCAAAATGGCGTTGATAAAGCAGTGCCCATTTGACATTTTATTATTTGATTGACCGATGAAGAGCTATCGTATCACAGAGCCATCTATGCAAACGAGGCTGTAGTTTTTAAGATATCAGAAAGTGACGGAAGGATTCTTCTTGAATTTCTTAGAAGTTAGTCTTTCTTTGAAATAATTTTGTTTCTTGATCGCAATGATGAAGTCACATTACATCCATTGGTATTAATCGAGCCTGTCTCGACTAAGAATGACATTCGAGCTCGGCTCGTTTAATTATATTTATAACTAGCTGTGCCCGCGGCGTAGCTCGCGTATACAGGTTTTACATAAAGAATTTGTCGTTTAGGTAAGAGAATATTAAACGAATTATTTCATTACTGTATCAATAAGTGGTAACAAAATAAATCATTATCATCAAAGTTCTAAGTCGTTTATGATAGAGCTTCTGTGTAAACGACGTTAGAAGTAGGCTTAGCCGGGGTATACACAAAAAGGTTACGGGGGCTACTAACGCGGGAAAAAGCAATATAGAGTTGGCCATGTGCAAAACAGTCAGTACTGAGCACAGAACACTTAATATAGATATTAGGTGTTCTGTGGTACTGAGGTACACTCCTACAACGCGTAAAGTTTGACCTTGCGCTTTATTTACGGTCATCGCATAACACACACTCACTGTAACTGGGAACTGAACGCGGTTAAAACTGAAAGGAAAGTTACTTCTTAATAGAGGGTTTTTGGGCAGTGCTGCCAGATAAAAAAAAACTCATTCAGCTCTAGGACAACACAAAAAGCGCTAGATTTCATGAAAACAGCGCTTTAAAAAAGCCCTAGTTTTCGCGCTAAATTAACTAAAAACAAAGTTTGTGTTTTTTTATATAATCATAATAAAGAAAACAACATTACGTTTTTTTTCTGGCAATATTTTTTTGATGTATCAATACTTCGCAGGACATCGACTTATAATTATAGCAATTGCTATCAACAGTAGTTAGTATTGTACGAACAATAAAAATGTCATTAATTGTTTTAAAGTGCAATGTATTTCGCAACTTAGTTTCAGATGTCAGCATCTGATTGCGGTTGCTACACAGTTACCTTTGTGTTATAACTTCTAAGTAACTTTTAACTTAGCTGTGCTCTAAACAACTGACTGAAACTGAATAAAGCAAAATAAATGCGTTGCCAAAACCATGAACGAAAACTTTAATAAAGGGGATTTCCCCGCTTATAGTCGTCGGTAAAAAAATCAAGTTGATCATCCTAAAGGGGAAGCCAGGAGATCCATAGCACAGGGTATCCTAGTTTGGACTCGTCTCCCATGCTCTTTGTTTTGTGGAAAAAATATGTTTGAAAAAGATAAACTGCAATGTACTATTTGTGGGAAAAAATAATAAAGGTCATTATTATTATTATCGGTAATGTGGACTAACAGTGCTGCTATAAAAGAGTTAATAACCCGCTAGTCGCTAAAATATTGAAATGTGTGCTAAATACACCAAAAAGCGCTGGATTAAGCGCTAGGTGCTAAAATTTCGAAATGCGCGCTATACATTCTTAAAAAGTGCTAAATCTAGTTCCCAAAGCGCTAAAATGGCAGTTCTGATTTTGCGTATATTTTAAATACAATATCACGACATTTCGTTGCAAAATTTTTATTTTTGGTCAGGTTCCGTTGTATGGCTTCGATGGATACAAATTTCTTCAGTAAGTCTCAATACGATTCATAGGCGAAAAATCTCAACACCGCAATTCAGAAAAGTTTGTAATTTGTACAACTCCATCTATTACGTCCTTTGTGTGAGAAAACATCCTATCTCTTTTTGTGTTTTAAGTATAAATATATTAATTATTATGGAACGTTTTTTTTTTACACAGAAATCTTTTTATTACTATTTCTGAGATTTTATGGCGCCATTGAACAAATTCGAACCTACATTTCAAAATTAATGTTTTCAAAAATTACTTTCGATAGAATTAACCAATTTTAATAAAACAAAGATTAAAAATGTAACTCGAAGATACGCTTTATGATATTCTTAACGATTTGTTTGAAAATAAAAGATGTTTACTTTAGACGTGATGCGTTCATGAGACAAATATACAGACAGACAATTCTAAAAATTATAAAATGTTCTTATTTAATTATTTTCAGTTCCCCATAATGATTTTAGCCACCAAAATATATATACAATGTACAGAAAGAGACACAACATGTTATCATCATTTTTATTATATGTTTATATTTAAAGAGAGATGGCGCTGCTAACATCATCAATTCTAAAAATAAAAGAGATTAATTGACGCGATTGATACATTATATAAAACGTAAGAGAACTTATAAATCAGTGCCTGCACAGTAACCAAAAAATAAAGTTTGACTCTCGCCAAAACATGCAATTGTTAATAGCTCTTTTAAAATTTGATTTACCACATAGAGTACTCGGCGGTAAAGAATAAATTGAGTTTATCAACACGCAGTAGGGCAGCGAGTAATATAATAAAGATTAGCAGTAAATATGAAAACTCATCTACAGGAAAATACCACATTTGCAATCATTACATTTTCACAACACCACCATCTATCGAAGAAATGGGTTAACTATTGTGCTTCAGATTTAGTTAATAAGGTTAATATATTTTTGTATAATTTATTTAATACGTTCTTTATTACTTTTGTTTACTGCGTTTTAGATATACATAATTATATCATTATTTTACATAATTTAACTATGATTTATGATATGATATTAGTTTAAAATGCACTTGATGACTCAAACAAAGCCACCGTTGAGCAAATTCGTACCTATACTTCCCTACCCATACTTCAGAATATTTATCATAACTTTTGATAGAATGAACTGATTTTAATGAATTAAAGACTAAATGTAACCCGAAGATACACTTTATAATTTCCTTAACAATTCTTCTGATATAAATTAGTACTTTATACGTGATACGTTAACAAACAAACAGACAGACAGACAGACAGACAGACAGACAGAAAATTCTAAAAATGGTAGAAATGTATTTAATTACTTATTTTTAGTACCCCTTAATCACTTTTATTACAAAAATATAAAATGTACAGACATCTGCTATTTACAGTTTTATTATATGTATAGATTAGTTATATACATATATATATAGGTATGTCATAACTTCTGTCACTTTTTATAACGATACACTTTTTGATAATTAAGTATATACAATTTTATTTACATTATTCAAAATGCCCTCCCCTATTTTGAATACATGCCCTTAATCGACACGGCCAATCAGCAATCACAGCACGCGCCACACTCATATCTATTTCTGCCACTGCTTCAGCCAAAGATGCTCGGAGAGATTCCAAATTCTGATGAGGTTTAGCGCAGACTTTCTCCTCCAAATGTTGCCATATCTTATAATGCAGTGGGCTTAGATCTGGACTAGAAGAGGGCCGGTCTTCATGTCCGATAAAGACAATTCCAACGGTCGGTCGGGAGGTCAACCAGTTTTGCGTGCTTCGTGCCCTATGAGCTGGTGCAGAGTCCTGTTGTAATATCCAATGTTTGTTTTTGAGCTTTGTTTGAGAAAGAGGCTCCACTATGTTTGTTAGGACAGTATTTTAGTACACCTCGGCACTGGTTTTTACACGTTTTTCACAGAAAAACACCTCAGTTAAGCCTGAATATGAGACTCCAAGCCAAACCGTGAGTGACGAAAGATAATGTGCTCGTTGAACACTTGGAATACGCGTGCTGGCTTCTTCACTGCTGTAGACATACACCTTATCATTTTGTTTATTATAACTTACTTTGATGTTAATTGTTTTTTCATCCGAAAACAAAATTTCGCGGTATTTTTTCCCGCGTACCGCCGTAACAAAGCGCGGGATCTATCCAGCTTAATTTTTTTCAAACGCTCGTTCAAAATATGTCCGGTTTTCTTACGATAAGCTCGTAGTCCTAGGTCTTCATTGATCACGCTTCTGACCGTGACCATGAAGAGCTAAGATTTTTTGTTTACAAACAGGATTTCGTTGGATTCGCGCCTTCACTGCTTTGATAATCGCGGGTGTCCTAACTGTACGGGGTCGGCCGGTCCTGTTACGATTTTCGAAGCTTGACTCTTCAGTGAGTCATTTGATAGTGCGATAAACAAATCGTAGGGTTATTTTCAATTTTTGTAGAATATTGAAAATCTCTTTTGGCGCGTAACCACAGCGGTGCAACGCGATAACTGTTACTCGTATCTTCTTTCTTCGATCACTCCATATTTGAAAATTAATGAAAATTAATGTCTTTTTTATTTTCGGCAAGCACAAACGTAGTCAAAAAACTTATACTTACCTATATACTTGGTTTATTTCTGTGCATTAGTTAATATTCTTAGTACTCAACACGCGGATACTTTCTTCACCTTCAAGCTTTCATGCAAAATTTTACAACCTCCACTTGGAGTAACAGTGTTCCAGGATAACAGCGCGTAGTTCAATTTTTTTTTATTTTCGCCAATACGCTAAACAAGCCAAATGACTTCTTACAATCTTACAGATATTCCAGGTTTTTCAGCCATAATTTAGGTAACTATTTTAAACTCCAAAGAGTTTGTATCACATTCTCACTTTTTTTACGCTGCCTGCTAGTGATCACATGTTCTTTGTTTTAAAAAATAAACGGTATTTAAACTATAATTAAAATCGTTTACAGGGTCATTGGGGCGTTCCGTTCCGCAAGGCAGACACAAAAGACAAAAAATTCTACATCAGCAAATCGGAAACTATTGAAAAGCCGACGATGCATTTACTACAGTCACTGTTATATAAAGAAGACAAAGACCTTGGTGCTAGAGTAAGTATCTTTTTTACTCACTTGAGTTTTCTTATATACAAAAATTATGGCCATGCCTAATACCCAAGGCCCTTCTGATACGGTTTTCGACTTTCCTTAATAGTATGGAAAAGTCAAGAATTGTATGAGGTATACTCTCTTTGATAAAGAAACAAACTGCATTATATTCCAAATTTGATAATTTAACTGATTATTCATGACTCCAATTTCAAACGGTATAGAATTATAATGAAAATTGTAAAGCTATAATCGTCATCAGCCTACAAAATTGGACCTCCGATCACTTAGAAAGTACCGGACCAGAACTGTGCCCTAATTTTTTTTTTACTTATATAATCCGGTGCTTGACCACAATCCCACCTGATGGTAAGTGGTATGAAGGCCGAGATGGCATTGATAATATTCCATCTTAATCCTCAAAGGCGTTACGCATCTGCATTTTGATTCTTAATTGAGGATGTATGTGGTTGTCTATGGGCAACAGCACCCACTTGCCATCAGGTAAACTGTGTGCTCGTTTGGGTATATAATAAGGGTATCCTATTAAGAAAAATAAACGTGAACTGTTAAATGATACGTCACTCTCGGCATTAAAGTAGAAAATATTTTTAAATAAATATTTTCCTATTCATTGTTCAAAGATGATAGAGCTGCCTTATAAAGAACCTGGATTCCGTATGATTGTCGTGTTGCCTGACGCTGTGGATGGGCTGCCGGCAGTGCTAGAGAAATTGTCTCAGAAAGGCATCTTGGAGGACGTGTTCGCATTAAGCCCAGCCGGTCGGGACGTATACTTGGATATGCCCAAATTTGAAGTTAAATCAAAGTTCAATCTGAAGAGCATCTTAAATAAGGTAACATTTATTTATTTTTGTATCAAAAGCTTAGAGTTTAATCGCATTTAAAGTTTTGTAACTTATTTTAATTTTAATTTGGTTATTTAACTTATTTACGGAATCTAAGCAGTGTTTACTTTTATTTTGGAAGAAAATGGAATTTTGAAAGTAAAGTAACAGTACACACTTACCACGTCTGTGCAGAGGCCTTGTCTCATAGTTTAGTTAAGTAGGAATTCATCTTTTTTCAAATATCACCAACAAATAATAATGATGTGAATTACAAATATGCAAGGAACTGAATAAACTAAAACTAAATTAATATTTAAGGGTCGACTACTTCCGTCCTATCGTATTGAAAACTAAAGTATATATAGCACGTATAGGTCGGCTCGAACGGGGAAGGACTGTGCACTCACAGAATACCAGCGTAAAATAGCAGCTTAATGCTGCTATGTTTCGTATGGTGAGTGTAGAGAACCGGAGACCCTACTTACTGGAAACGAGGCATTCTATCTCATTTCTCTGGGGTGGCAACGCGTCTGCGTCTTGATTCTTAATCGAGAATAAATTTAGATGCTTATGGGCCACAGTATCCGTCAGGTGGTCTATTCAATAAAAATATTTAAATATATTAGGAAATATTTTCAATGCCAGGAGGGAGTGGGCGGAATATTTAGCGAGGATGCACCCGGCATTGTTAAAGGACAAGGAGTGAAGGTGTCCGAGGTGTTCCAAGAGGCATTCGTGAAGGTCGACGAGGAAGGGGCCACAGCTGGCGCTTTTACTGGTAAGAATGCTTTGCAATATATCTATGTTAATAATGACTAATACCTAGTCAGGTCATAAGAATTGTCACACAGTAAAAACTTTTCTTTTAGAATGCTGGCCACAAAAAAGTTTATTGAATTCGAATTTCGAATTGTTCATGAAAATAAAACTGTATACTTTTTAGAATTTTACTCATTTTTAAATATGGAGTGGACGCTTAAAGAAGACCGTGTTGCAGTTATTGCGTTGCATCGTTGCGGTTACGCGCCAATTCAAATTTTTGACATACTGAAAAATTTGAATATAACCAAAAGATTCGTTTATCGTACCATCAAACGATACAATGAAGACTCTAGTGTAGATGACAGGTCAAGAAGTGGTCGCCCTCGGTCTGTTAGGACTCCAGCAGTGATAAAAGCTGTGAAGGCGCGAATTCAAAGAAATCTCAAACGTAAGCAGAAACTGTTGGCCCTTCAGATGGGGTTAAGCAGAACCACGGTGAAAAGGGTGTTAAATGAAGACTTAGGGCTTCGGGCATATCGAAGAAAAACAGGACATCGTTTGAATGCTCGTCTAATGGACCTGAGACTGAAGAGATGCCGCGATTCAACAAATGAAGCGGTACGCGGGAAAAAATATCGGGAAATTCTTTTTTCGGATGAAAAAATCTTTACCGTAGAAGAGAGCTACAACAAACAAAATGATAAGGTGTAGAAGTAATAGAAGTAGTAGTGAAGAAGCAAGCAACCATATTCCGCGTGTCCAACGAGGTCATTTTCCATCCTCGCTTATGGTATGGTTGGGAGTTTCTTATTGGGGCTTAACAGAGGTACATTTTTGTGAGAAAGGTGTAAAAACGAATGCAGTTGTGTATCAAAATACAGTCCTGACGAACCTTGTGGAACCTGTTTCTCATACCATGTTCAATAACAGGCACTGGGTATTCCAACAAGATTCGGCGCCAGCTCATAGAGCGAAGAGCACACAAGACTGGCTGGCGGCGCGTGAAATCGACTTCATCCGGCACGAAGACTGGCCCTCCTCCAGTCCAGATTTGAATCCGTTAGATTACAAGATATGGAAACACTTGTAGGAAAAGGCGTGCTCAAAGCCTCATCCCAATTTGGAGTCACTCAAGACATCCTTGATTAAGGCAGCCGCCGATATTGACATGGACCTCGTTCGTGCTGCGATAGACGACTGGCCGCGCAGATTGAAGGCCTGTATTCAAAATCACGGAGGTTTTTTGGAATAAACTTTAGTGTCATAAGAATCTATGTTTTGTTAAGTTCATTTTGGTATATAAATGGTTACATAATGAATAAACTTGTTTCAATTATTTTATATTAAACATGTGACAGAATTTATGACCTGCCTAGGTATATTGTTCTAAAACTGTTGATTTAACAATAATAATATATATTATAATATCTGCTCCTAAATAATCATAGTGGCGGATAAGCCAAACTAAGCACGTTTCTAGGGGCAGGAAGTTAAATAGTGGCGCGCGCGGAACCGAAAGTGTATAAACGAAAAAAAATTGTCTTTAATTACTACTACATCGTCTTTACTGTCATCACATTTATTATTCACACCTACCTGTTTAGGATACTCTTGAAACTATTTAATTATGTTATAAATTATATATAATATAGTTTAATAGTTTATTTACAAAAAAAATACTATCTATAATAAATGGCCGATAGGGGGCGCCGATGAAGTAGCACCTCATCGGTGCCCCTATAGTCTGGGGCGCTATCCACATTTAATCCGCCTCTGCCACTGCCCTAGTAACTATATAATTTGCCGTACTTATTAACTAAGAATTTACGGCATTACACCGAAATTTTAGCAGAAAAATGAGGATTTGTACAGGTTTCTAATATAAACTGTAAAATCGTACTTAACTAACAGCTGGGCATAGGCTTCCTCTTATTTCTGGAAAGATTTAGGGGCGGCGAAGAGACCCCACGTTCTTTGAGTATGCGTTGATGGATTTCATAAGTTCTCGAAATTTTGTTGATTTTTTGGTTTCCTCACGATATTCTCCTTTACCGCCTCCATACTAAATCAGCGCATTAAGTTTCGATAAATCAGTTTACACTCATTACAATGGTAAACGCTCAACCATTAGGGCTCATGTGCACGAAACGGTTTTAACACGGCCCGGTTTTTTGCCGGCGCCGGGTAGAAACCGTTCGAGCTTGCACACAAGATAGTTTGTACACGGCCCGGTTTCATGAAGGTGCAGCCTTCATACGCTCTTTTTATTCTGTGAATTGTGGACGTACAAAATGTTGAATGTTTACAATAGAAAATGTATTATTGCGTGGCACATGTATAAAAAGCTAAAAAAATACAAATACGATATTGGGTACATCCCGTGTTAACAGAAAGAGAAGATTATGGTGCATTTCATACGCTTATTCAGAAGCAACTAATGAAACATGGAGAGAAATTTCTATATAAGTACTTTCGAATGAAAAAAGAAACATTTAAACAAAATGTTATACATTTTGGAACCCAAACTTAAACATGAAAATACAAATATCCTACAACACTGGCCTCTCTTCTACCAAATTAATTAATAATTTGTGGTCGATCGTTGAGCACCGTGGCCGGTTTCGCGGTGAGCCGGCGCTAGCGCCGGCGTCATGTGTTTACCTTCATAGTGTCCCATACAATACTGACGACCGGACGTAGACCCGGCTTGACGCTGGGCTTAGCTCCGACGAAAAACCGTCTCGTGGGCATGAGCCCTTACCATGACTTTTTGTAATGAAACCTTATGTCATACGGCCCAATAGTGAGCCCGGCATTAATATAATTTAAAACTGAACAACATTTATATGTGATTAATTGTTTCAGGTGTGCTATTCGTAGCAACGTCGGCGCTTTTAGAACCACCACAGCCTTTACAGTTTAAAGTTGACCGGCCGTTCCTTTACATGATTCTCAACGAGGACATCGTGCTGTTTGCTGGCGCTTACTCGCACTGATATTAAAGTAAATATATAACGAAAATAGGTATCAGCATAATATATGTAGGTTGATTGACACCTATTAACGTTTATCGAAAATAAAAAATAAACTATTAAATAAGTAGCTATATTAGTTTTTTTAAAGATGGCTTCCCTTCCGCTTAAATATAAATCACTTTGTTTGCAGGCGTAAGTTATAAAAAAAAAGAAAGATGTGGAGCGCCAGCTGGTATGTGTTACTTAGAACATTTTGCTTAATCGCAACTTAGCTTGACGGCTCCGTTTCAAGTTGGACCAAAATGCACACAGTGTGCAAAATTTAGTTTAACGAGTCCATTGCGGACAAACAACGTGACACGTAATTTTTATATATAATGATATACCTACTATCATAAAATCACAAAACGTAGCGCTCATCGTATTTATTTTCGGCATTATCAAATAAAAAGTTGGGAAAGCTATACGAAAACAGCCGTTTGATCGACAATATTTATTTCACAACCTAACCTATATGTCAAAATATATATATTAATTATATATATTTCTAATACCTTAACCCTCGGGAACTCGCGCTCCTCTCCAAACACGAAAGCGCGCGATGTATCCGGGAGATAAAACAGGGGTTAAAGTTCAATAAATATATACTCATCTATTAAAATAGTTTGATCCAACATAATAGTATATTTTTTATTTTAATAATGATATTGATCGCATTGGAAGAATTATATATATTTTCATTAAAAAACATTTTAAATCTTAAAAATAATTCTTGCAAGGGTCGGTAAAATTCAATAAATCATAAACAGTTTTTAAAAAGATTTTTTTTATATAGGAGAGGGTACAAACGAGCTTGCGGCTCACCTGATGGTAAGTGACTACCGCCGCCCATGAACAACTGCAACACCAGGGGAATTGCAGATGCGTTGCCGGCCTATTAAAAAGGAGTAGGCTCTTTTCTTGAAGGTCGCTAAGTCGTATCGGACCGGAAAAACCGCTGGTGGCTACCGCTAACCGCTATACTAACCTGATACGCCATCTGCATTTGATACTCCAGTTAAAAACATCTTTATAGAAGAATCATCAAATTAACCAACGTAATGTACCGAAAATATAAAAAAATTAAAAAGTTACGTGATTCCAACAGAAGACTAAAAAGACAAATAGTTTCTTTGAAGTCATTATTGGTAGAATTAGGAAACAAAAATTTATTAACAGCCGAAAACAATGACGTATTAAGTTCCTTGGGAGTCAAATGTGGTGAAATTATGCGTCGTCAAATATTGAAAGGAAAATCAGGCAAAATTGTTAGAAAAAAATATTCACTACAGTTGAGAACTTTTACACTCACCATAAATGTTTACTCAACTGAGGCTTATAATTATGTACGCAAAATATTTAATACTTGTTTATCCTCTGTAAAAACACTAAGAAAGTGGTACAGATCTCTAGATGGTCGTCCACAAACATTAAGCAGTTTTGTTAATGAAGATATTTTTCCTGAAATAAAAAATCACCAATTCGATCACAAAAGTTGTAATCATGTCATTGATTTAGCTGAGTGTCATGGCAAAATACATAGACATAAGATTACTCTACTTATCCAGGAAGACAGATACTAAGAATTCTGTGAGACAATTTCATACTAAGCTTATCCATTTTAAAAATCAGTCAAATATATATTTATAAATTAAATGTACAAATATATGTATATATTGTTTTATTTTTTAATATACATCAAATAAAAATTGATCAATATATTTATTTATTAATAATCAATAAATCCCAAATTTATCGATCAACGTCCCAACCCTGTTCCATCACTACGGTTTGGTGCATTCTAAGTTTGACCTGTAAATGTCCAATCACAGCGCATTTGACACGTCCCCGCAACCCTTGCATTGCAATTGGTGAACTCAAAACAGAAGAAATATTCAATGATGCGGTATCTATTAGGGGGTAATCTATGCGTACAAAGGACCAAATAGAACATAATATACAAATCAATTTTAAAAAAACGTCCATACCAATTGATTACAATGGGACGCGCGATGTATCCACGAAGCAAAAATCGGGCACGCACAGGCTTAACAACATACGCATCCTTTGCAGTACTGTTTACTGAAGATCTGGATTAAGCGAGATTTTGCTCCACCCGAGGTTTCTATTTTATTGAAGTTCTCAAAATAGGTACTAGATCCAATGAACGAAACTTTGAACTCAGTTTAATAAAATAAAACTCGAATAAGTATGCTTTCAATTATTTATATTGAAATTATTATCACCTCCTTAACCAGCATTGAAGGGTGTCTACGTTTTACGTAAAACACAATTACAAATGATACAGTGCGTGCAGTATAAACAGTTTAATATAAAATAACTCAATGTAAAGTAAAGTCGGTCATTCATTGTTTGGACTTGCCTGAAGGCACTTGTGGACAAATAGTTATTTGCTTGGAGTTTGGATTTGGCAAGTCATTAACGTTTTTAATCACTCTTGTCTCCTAAAATAGAACACGCTAATAATTATTTAGTTAACTTGAATTATTAATTTATAATTTTAGATTATCTTTTTTTATGTGGTTTTTTTTTCCAATTAGCTACGTATTTACTACTAATATTTAAGTATAATTATTTCACGTTATGCTATAAATAGCAAGAAGTAGTTAACTTAAGCGACTTCAGAAAACAAGAGTCAATTAGAAACTTAAAAATAATCATCACGAAAATACTAAGTCACTTTACTTTTCAGACCGACTAAGGCTACAAAATTATTGCTCGACATCAAATATTTATTTGCTTTCATTACATTACATTTTGTAAAAAAATAAACCAGTTACAAGATAAATATTACGCCTAGTTCAGACCGAATTATATGAAAGTATGACAAAGTGTTAAGATGATCTATGATAACATTGCGAAATATACGCTTATGTATCCATTAACATTACATACTCTAAGTTAATTATTTGATATTATATTCTGTAAAAAGTACTCAGTCTGAAAATAGCATAATGTTGCCAATTTACATATAAAAGCAAAATGATCTGAGTCATTACCAATTTAGTAAATTGCTGCGGACTCACAATAGTCCGTTACACTTTGATGGAAATCCTAAACAAACTCTTATAAGCAATATATTGGAAGTTTATCTATGACCTCTCAGCAATCTAAATAATTTTATCTTTATTTACATTATTAACAATCTGTGTGGTTAAATTTGTTTTTAATCAATATTTTTTTAATTAATGTAATATTGTCAATGGTATTTGTCTATCCCAGAACTGGAAATCAAGTTTAATATTTTAAAGATTTTGATTTGATGGCAAGAAATTACGTTAAAGAATAATAAAATATTTAGTTGAATCCTCGACTTTCACACTCGAATTGTACAAAACCTTTTACAGCTTACAATCTATCCTTTATTAATTCATTTTGTATCTTTAGCACTATCCAAATGTCACCACAATTACCTTTAAATATTAAACATTTCTATCTTTATAAATGCACTTCTTGTTAATAAATTTATTCTATTCTATCACTGAAAGTGAAATCTGGTTGAGTAAAAAAGGGTTGCGCGCCACACACTTAACAATGAGAAGATATATATATTGTCTATAGGCGACTTTATGATGATGTCATAACATAATATATCCAAGACAAAAAGAAATCAAAACTTAAAATTATAGTAGCTTAAAACAAAGAAAAAGAACCACTGAAACTGAATACTCGACAATACTGAAAGAAAAATGGCATTGCTTAACGCTTTTGGAATTACTTACATTTACTTCTTTGGTGTTGTGTCATTTCAATCATGTTTGATTCCACTGCTATTGGACGCTATACGACTGGCGTACTAAATAATAACCTATAACTATTAATTACGGCTATTATACAACAAAGCTGATATAAACAATACTGTCTCATACGAGGCAGTATACGTATACGCTATTTTTACAAATTGTAATGAGGGCATATCTTATATATTATGCTAATTATAATAAACTTAATATTCTTTACCCTAATTAGGACTTAATATTATTTAACTAGTCTATATTTACATAAACTATGATTATATACACAATGGAATCATTGAGATCATTACATTGTTGTCTACTTACAAGTGATGACACGCATGACGTATACACGCTAAATAATTAATACTTTAGAGTAGACTGGTTTGGTACCCATCGGGTACATGAAGGCTCACGTGTTCAATGAGGTAATTATCAATGTGAATTTTGTTATTTTTGCCTAAAGCTATCAAAAAAATTCGACAGTGTTTTATCAAAAATGTGTTCTTATGTACATCACCTATTGTACAACGTTAACAAAATAAAAACAAGAAACATAAACAAAACGGAGTTTTAGAGACTATTGCACATAATTCCAAAAATCAAAGTGATTTGTTTTTATACATGTTGCCGTTAACCTATTTTATTAACCAAATCTCTCTTTAACGAGGAACATTAGTTTCTTTTTGCCTTTATATTTAAGTTTGATCTCTTGGAGTAGCGCTGCGAATTGATGCGGCCCGTCGTGAGCCAGCGCGAATGTGTCACGGGCTTTACCTGCAAGCGAAACGGTATAAAATTTAATAAAAAATTCTTTAGTACTTTTTAAACTGAAGCAGTCTCACTTTAAGTAAATTTCAAGATATTTTCATCTCATTGTAAAAAAAAATTAAAGGAAAGTTAAATTAATTGCATTTTAATACTGTCAACCGAAAGATGTGCTAGATGCTCAACATGGTCCAATTTCTTTCTTTTGTATAATTATATTGTCTGTGAGAAGAGTGACTGACAGCACATTAGATCAGTGGGCTGGAGTGGTATTGGACCGGTTATATAGCTCGAAGTACCTACAACCGATGGGGAAAAAGTATTTTTATTCGTGTATTAGATGGAGTGCCGATTTTATGAAACATGCAGTTTTTTGATGGAAAACAGGAGGTTCAGGACTGCAATCTATTGGATTTAATAATTATGTGCGGCATATGAAATACGATATAAGTTTAATTTTATATTAAATAAATTTTACAATCATTTTTTTAATACATATGTAGAACTGAAATATTAGTGTAATAAATCAAAAGAATATTTTTTTTGGAGTAAAATTGCTTAGATTAGATTAGCGCTGTTTACTTTATTCTATAGGTAAAGTCGTTTTATCAAATAAAAATGTATTAATTTTTAAGGTGGTGCGTAAAATAGACGCTAGATGGCCTTAAACACGATTTCAATATAATGTTCTATCTCATTCTTTCGCAGGTTAAATTTTATAGATATTTATGTTTGTTTTTTTTAGTGTCACTTTCTTGTTCTATTGAGTTTCAAATCACAACAATATTAAAGTTTTCACTTTAAAAAGTTAGGAAGTACTCTATATCGTAAGAACACGGCAGCGTATTTCTAGCACGTATAATAAAGTTTCAGTTATTGTGATGGTGTAGCATTTATAATAAAGTGTCGGTTGTTGTAATATTTATAGCGCGTATAGCAAAGAGTTAGTTGTACGTGTAGCACGTACAACATAGTGTCAGTTGTTGTAATGTTTGTAGCACGTACAACAAAGTGTCAGTTGTTGTGACGTTTGTAGCACGTACAACAAAGTGTCAGTTGTTGTGATATTTGTAGCACGTACAACAGTGTCAGTTGTTGTGATGTTTGTAGCGCGTAGAGCAAAGCGTCAGGAGGTGTGATGTGTGTATGACGTAGAAGAAAGCGAGTGGCGGTGCTAGGGTGGCGCGGTTACCGAGGAAGTCGACGAAGTCTGCGTAGTGGCGCGGCGAGATGTGCGCGAGGCGCGCGTGCGTGGTGGAGGCGTAGGCGCGCAGCGCGGCCTCCAGCAGCGGCCGCAGCGGCGTGGGCGGCCGCGGCGGCGCCGGCCGCGCGCGCGAGCACCCCGCCGCCGCCACGCAGCACCGCCGCAGCACGTCCGACTGCACAACAACACACACGCACACATATACATAACTCTTTGTTGCAAACACTTCTATCATGCCCATTAGACGCCCATTACACAGTAGGTTTTGCTGTCAGTATTACAACAATCACGGCTGTGATTGACGAATAACCTACAGTGTAATTCGGTGATTGACGCTTGCGTGAAATTATTGACAAATATCTGGATAATTTGATATTTACGTCAATCAACTATCAGTCACGAATTCTCATTGAACGTTTTCATTTAATGCCATTAGCATTTCGTCAATCACGCGTCGTTGCTCCTAGCTTTTCTTCGGGAATTATAGATTTTCGCATACATGTATCTTGTTTTTTTTTTAGGTATGGTGTTACCAAGACTAGACTAGAGTAACTTATCAAAACAAGCCTCTTTCATACGAAAATAATTTACATAGACTTTATCCTCTTTTGAAACCCGTATGTTAGTCAGTAAATTGATATGGGTATAGAATTAGAAATCCCTTTTTAAAAACAAGTCTTTTACCTTCGCCTTCTTTTTATACGTTATTTACACAAAATTGCAATCAAAATTACAGCACATGCCTTTTTTATGTATATCCATCCTTTCCCTCTGAAATTTTGGGTTTGACTAACGATCAGTCAGAATGAGCATGTAATGTCGAAATTATTCTATCATTCCAACATCAACCATGAATAATTGAACTGATTGACGCTTGCCTAGGCGTGTAATGGCCGCTTTACTATTACAACGACAGTTAAGGAAAAAACTATGTCACATGCAACACTGCTGCAGCACGTCCGACTGCGCACACACACAAACATACGTAATACTACGTAATAATACGTTTATAACTATTTGTTGTACTACTAGACCGGAAATTCAAGACAAAACCTGTCAACGATAAAGTAACCAATATGATAATTACGCCAAATATTTGTATTTCTATTTACGAGATGTTACTATTTTTAGTCAAATAGCTAAAATAGCTAATTATAAATTTAATAGATTAAATTAGCTAAAAACTAACAAAATAAACTTAATTTTTTTCAGTTTATTTTATATTGCACATTACACCTATCCGTCAAAATATTAAATTACAATGTCCTTTTACATTCGGTTTGTTCAAAGTTATTGTAAAAGCTTTGTTTAAATGCAATAAAAAAATGACTATATATCTATCTACCTTAACAACAAGTCACATTGGCAAGGTGCGCACATAAAAAATTTTCTTAATCACATTAAACAAAATCAGTGTTAAATTATTGAAATAACACCAAACAAAGTACTAGTCTTCTCGTCCGTTTACAGTAGACTGAAGAAGTAACGGAGAATCGGCCGTAACTTAATGCACAATTTATTATAGATATATAGAGCAATCTTTAACCTTATGTAAAGGAAACGAGAGCTCCAATAATCATAATATAAGCTTCAAGTTTTAGACACCTAAGAACTTGACATACTGTCGTCATCGACTGTCCGCTGGGTTGATCTATCGTCAAAAGATCTCAAGAAATTCGCAAGTCACATTCTTAAAAAGTTTTTATAACAAAACATTAAAAGAACGTGTGTGTGTGTACATATATTATGTACACACATAGGAAGTTATACTTCTTTAGCGTAACAAAAAAAAAAACTAAAAATAACTATAGTTATCAGCCTCCACGAAAACTTGAGAGACAGTTACCCACTGAAGTTGTCGCTTTGAGGTGTCAGTGTGCGCGCGCATCGTAACAACTTCATGGTGCCGTATTTAGGTGGCGCATCGTAAAAATTGACTCTCATCATTTTTTCCATACGCCCCAAAAGAAGTACAACTTCAAAAATTGCATTTAACAATTATTTGATGCAGTGTAATAAGATGACAACTTACCAAGACAGGTGCACATTGAACATTTTTAACAAGTAATGGCAGCATCGCTTGTAATTCTGCCCGGCCGAGCGAATGCGCTAGCGCCACGGCCCAGTGGATGTCTGCTATCGCCGGGTGGCTGTCCTGCAAGCCGAATATTCAAACGAATTGATAAACGTATACAACGTAACTAAGCACTCTTATTATTTTTTCATATCTTTTATCTAAAGTAGTGAAGATTTTTTTCAAAAGTTACCATCATTCCTTGTGGAAATTTCGAGTGTTAATATTATGTTAGTCGATTATTTTTAAATTTAGCTTAAGATTTTCAAAATGCAATCCTCAAATTTGTGAAGTGCTATATATTTGAGGTTAACAAATTACAGCTTCGCAGCTGGTATTTATATTAGCTGCCAACATCAAGATTGGAACACACTGGGTATTTCATTTGGAGGTTCTAGGAGGTTTTAACGTGGTAGAGTCATGCTGCAGACATATTAATATTGTAGCACGAATGGGTCGCCTCCACAGAGGAAGGACTACGCTCTCACAGAATACCAGCGTAAAATAGCAGCTTAATGCTGCTGTGTTTCGTATAGTCAGTGTAGAGAACTGGAGGCCCTTTTTGCTAAAAAAAAAGAGGCATTCCATCTTAGTCCTCACGGTTGACAACGCATCTGCATTTTGAATTGTAAACGTTGATGGATGTAGATGTCTGTGGGCCACAGCAACCACTTACCATTAGGTGGACTGTGTGCTCGTTTGTCACAATTATCATATAAAAAAGGTTCAATATATAACAATCCATTGCTGCATGTAGCGCGCCACGGCGAACAGCTGGCTGGAGGCGGGCGGGCTGCGGGCTGCGGGCTGCACGCACCTGGTTGTAGTGCAGGTGCAGGTTGCGCATAGCGAGCGTGGCGAGGCGCATGGCGCGCGCGGGCTGGCCGCGCTGCTCCATGTAGCGCGCCACGGCGAACAGCTGGCTGGAGGCGGGCGGGCTGCGGGCTGCGGGCTGCACGCACCTGGTTGTAGTGCAGGTGCAGGTTGCGCATAGCGAGCGTGGCGAGGCGCATGGCGCGCGCGGGCTGGCCGCGCTGCTCCATGTAGCGCGCCACGGCGAACAGCTGGCTGGAGGCGGGCGGGCTGCGGGCTGCGGGCTGCACGCACCTGGTTGTAGTGCAGGTGCAGGTTGCGCATAGCGAGCGTGGCGAGGCGCATGGCGCGCGCGGGCTGGCCGCGCTGCTCCATGTAGCGCGCCACGGCGAACAGCTGGCTGGAGGCGGGCGGGCTGCGGGCTGCGGGCTGCACGCACCTGGTTGTAGTGCAGGTGCAGGTTGCGCATAGCGAGCGTGGCGAGGCGCATGGCGCGCGCGGGCTGGCCGCGCTGCTCCATGTAGCGCGCCACGGCGAACAGCTGGCTGGAGGCGGGCGGGCTGCGGGCTGCGGGCTGCACGCACCTGGTTGTAGTGCAGGTGCAGGTTGCGCATAGCGAGCGTGGCGAGGCGCATGGCGCGCGCGGGCTGGCCGCGCTGCTCCATGTAGCGCGCCACGGCGAACAGCTGGCTGGAGGCGGGCGGGCTGCGGGCTGCGGGCTGCACGCACCTGGTTGTAGTGCAGGTGCAGGTTGCGCATAGCGAGCGTGGCGAGGCGCGTGGCGCGCGCGGGCTGGCCGCGCTGCTCCATGTAGCGCGCCACGGCGAACAGCTGGCTGGAGGCGGGCGGGCTGCGGGCTGCGGGCTGCACGCACCTGGTTGTAGTGCAGGTGCAGGTTGCGCATAGCGAGCGTGGCGAGGCGCATGGCGCGCGCGGGCTGGCCGCGCTGCTCCATGTAGCGCGCCACGGCGAACAGCTGGCTGGAGGCGGGCGGGCTGCGGGCTGCGGGCTGCACGCACCTGGTTGTAGTGCAGGTGCAGGTTGCGCATAGCGAGCGTGGCGAGGCGCATGGCGCGCGCGGGCTGGCCGCGCTGCTCCATGTAGCGCGCCACGGCGAACAGCTGGCTGGAGGCGGGCGGGCTGCGGGCTGCGGGCTGCACGCACCTGGTTGTAGTGCAGGTGCAGGTTGCGCATAGCGAGCGTGGCGAGGCGCATGGCGCGCGCGGGCTGGCCGCGCTGCTCCATGTAGCGCGCCACGGCGAACAGCTGGCTGGAGGCGGGCGGGCTGCGGGCTGCGGGCTGCACGCACCTGGTTGTAGTGCAGGTGCAGGTTGCGCATAGCGAGCGTGGCGAGGCGCATGGCGCGCGCGGGCTGGCCGCGCTGCTCCATGTAGCGCGCCACGGCGAACAGCTGGCTGGAGGCGGGCGGGCTGCGGGCTGCGGGCTGCACGCACCTGGTTGTAGTGCAGGTGCAGGTTGCGCATAGCGAGCGTGGCGAGGCGCATGGCGCGCGCGGGCTGGCCGCGCTGCTCCATGTAGCGCGCCACGGCGAACAGCTGGCTGGAGGCGGGCGGGCTGCGGGCTGCGGGCTGCACGCACCTGGTTGTAGTGCAGGTGCAGGTTGCGCATAGCGAGCGTGGCGAGGCGCATGGCGCGCGCGGGCTGGCCGCGCTGCTCCATGTAGCGCGCCACGGCGAACAGCTGGCTGGAGGCGAGCGCGCCGCGGGCCGCCGCGCCGCCCACGGCTGCGCACGCCGCCTCGAACGCGCCCGCCGAGCCCTCGCACACCGACAGCGCGCTCAGCGCGCACCCCGGCGGGTCCTGCCACACCACAACAACCAGCTCATTGCTACGTCTCCACGATACTTTAACACACAATTTATCCTTCAATCTAGGTATCGCTCCACAAGTGATGCGAGTGTTGAGCTGATTAAACATGGTTTTAACGCAAGAGAGAATTTACAGAATGCTTTGGGTGTGACCTATCCAAAGCGTTTGATTGTTCATCATGAGACATCAATCTGGAAACTACAACACATGGTGTAAGTAGTAATGCTTTCAACATACCGGACGTTTGTGAAACACTACCGAAAACGAAGACAGACGATAGTACTAAGGATACCTTTGATGATGAGTCCCAAAGAAATTCGAATTCTAAATGAAACGATAATTTGTTAAAAAAATCATGAAAATGCTTAAACATAAAACCATCAGTGGAATTAAAATCAGCTGAATAGGGGTCAATGTACGCGTGGAAGCCGAATTCACGCGGCCCGCAGCTAGCGATGGTACCACAATACCTAATAATTTACAACACCTGTCTAAATACCTAACTTATCTACTTAACCTACTATTTTGCCACTGTGCTTGTCTCCACCTAGCCACTTTATTCATAAACCAAATACCTGGTTCGATTCCCCGCTAATAAAAAATGACTTAAATGAAATGTAAACAAGGATAGAATCATGCTTATTATTCTGATATATTCAGTTATGTACCTTTTGATATGAGTTCAGTACTAAGTTATTTTAAAAAAATAGGTATGTAACAGCTTACCGATCCAAATCCTAAGTGGACAATGAGATTCTCCAAGGCACATTAACATGTTGCCGTATTCACGAGCACTATAAACGTACCTACGCGTTAGGCATTATTAAAACAAAACAAGACAAACAAAACGTAACAACAAGTAATAACAACAAGAATGTAATAAACAAAACGATTGGACTGTCGCTCACGCGCACGTGATAGTCAACACGGATCTATCTCAAAAACTAAAATAAATAACCAATCCCGCCAAAACAAATGCGCACGAGGCATTCATAATGTCCTTGAAGCACTTTGAGCATTTCCACAAACCGTTAAACCGTTACGACATTTTAGTTTTTTAATAAAACAACAAGTTTAGTTATCCCTACGACTAGTCTTCACATGGAATTTAGAAGTTATGGTGGTCATTTTTAATACAATTACACAATCAATTGTACCCTGACGCAACAAGCAGTTCTTTACTACAAAAATTATATTGAAAATAATAAACGTACCTAATGGGGTACTCAGTACTCAGTTACACAATTATAAACACTATTTCATCGTTATCTTTGATTTTGTATAAGAAAATAGAAATGAAATGGTACTGAATAATTTAATAGTTAAAATAGATTGCAATTATGATCGACAGTTAATTAATCTATCAGAATTAATGTAAAAAAATAACACTCTTACTTTATTTTAATTGACTTTCCGTATTTAATCCGACCAACACTGAATTTAAAAAGAGGTACGTCAAAATTATAAAAAATTACTAATTTTATAAGATTTACTTTTTAACTAACATTTTTTTTTCTTCAAAATAAAAATATGAAAAGCATTAAATGATACACAAAAGTAGCCGAAATAAATCCGAAAATTAATTGTGGTGCAATGATAACCGGCAGCGATTACCGAATGGTTAGAGGCACACTGAACCTAAACATGAAGTTGGAGAGGTCTCGTCTAATGAAGTCAACGCTCCGTCCCCCTCATGCTCTGATCCAAAGTCCCGAAACCTTTCAGCTCGAGTTACAAAACCGTTTTCAGTGCCTAAGCCTGCAATGAAGTGGACGATATGAATGACAAGCTCGTGGAAACTGTCCATGCGGTCGGAGCTAAGCTCTGCAAGACCCGCCGCAGAAGAACACAAAAACTCTCCGATCACACTCTTAATCTCATGGCTGTTAAACGGGAGATGAAGCTACATTCTTCAACAGATTTGACAGCATACAGGCAACTGAATAGACAGATCTGCAAATGCATGCGGCGGGACTTACGCAACTTCAATACAGCTCGTATTGAAGAAGCGATCGAGCGGAACCAAGGCTCCAAAGTCTTTGCCAGAGATCTATCTGCCAGAAAGAGCCAACTGTCAAAGCTGAAGATCGAATGTGGCAGCATCGTTTCCGGTGCACCTGAGATTTTGAGTGAGATTGAGAGGTTCTATGAGCAGCTGTACACGTCATCGTTGGAGCCACACGCAAGTGTGAGTAACGATCCAAGAGCGAGTCTTATCCGACATTATTCCGATGATATCCCGGACGTCAGTCTGAGCGAGATTAAAATAGCTCTCCAGCACCTTAAAAACGGCAAGACCCCAGGCGAGGATGGAATTACAGCGGAGCTTCTGAAAGCGGATGGAAAACCGGTACTTGAAGTCCTTCAGAAGCTCTTTAATTCCGTCCTTCATGATGGCATTACACCGGAGGCGTGGAGCGGAAGTGCGGTGGTCTTGTTCTTCAAGAAAGGCGACAACGCTCTCTTGAAGAACTACAGACCGATGTCCCTTCTGAGCCGCGTCTACGTGCTGTTTTCAAGAGTCATTACGAACCGTCTTGCGCGCAGACTTGACGACTTCCAGCCTCCCGAACAAGCCGGTTTCCGAAAAGGCTTTAGCACCATAGACCACATACATACCATTCGGCAAGTTGTACAGAAATCAGAGGAGTACAATTGTCTGGCGTATGTGGACTATGAGAAAGCCTTTGATTCCGTCGAAATTTGGGCAGTGCTGCAGTCCCTTCAGCGGTGCCAAGTTGACTGTCGGTATATCGAAGTGCTGAAGTGCTTGTACAGTAGGGCTAAGATGGCTATCCGAGTACAGAACCAGAGTGCGAAACCTATCCAATTGCAGAGAGGTGTAAGACAGGGTGACGTCATATCCCCGAAACTCTTCACCGCTGCATTGGAAGACGTTTTCAAGCTTCTGGACTGGAAAGGATACGGTATCAACATCAATGGCGAGTATCACTCACCTTCGATTTGCCGACGATATAGTCCTTATGGCAGAATCGCTGGAGGACCTAAGCACTATGCTCATTGACCTCAATAGTGTTTCCCAACGGATAGGTCTTAAGATGAACATAGACAAAACAAAGATCATGCTTAATGTCCATGTCACACCTATGCCGGTAGTTGTTGGGAACACTAAGCTCGAAGTTGTTGACGAGTATGTTTACCTGGGACAAATAGTCCGACTAGGTAAGTCCAACTTCGACCGAGAGATCAATCGACGGATTCAGTTCTCGTCAGATATACCTCAAAACTTGAAAACGAGACTGTACAACCAGTGCATGTTGCCAGTGATGACATACGGAACTGAGACTTGGTCCTTCACTGCTGGCCGGATGAGGAAGCTCAAGACCGCTCAGCGAGCTATGGAGAGGGCTATGCTCGGAGTTTCTCTGCGTGATAAACTCAGAAATGAGGATATCCGCAGTAGAACCAGAGTGACCGACAAGTAGCCCAACGGATTAGTAAGCTGAAGTGGCAATGGGCCGGCCATATAGCTCGAAGAACCGACAACCGATGGGGAAAAAGGTTCTCGAGTGGCAGCCTCGTACCGGCAGGCGAATTGTTGTGCGTCTCCCCACTAGATGGAGTGACGACCTGGTAAGGTATGCAGGAAGTCGATGGATGCAGGTGGCTCAGGACCGTGCTTTGTGGCATTCCTTGGGGGAGGCCTATGTTCAGCTTTAGACTTGTGAAGGGCTGCAATGATGATGATGGTGATGTTTCGTACTGAACTAGGTAAGAGTTCGGCGTTCGCGAGGTTATTGACCCTAGTCAGCTGATTTAAATTACACTGCTGATGTTATGTTTAAGTATTTTCATGATTTTTTAATGAAATTATCGTTTCATTTAGCTGTACTAACATGATGGAGCGTGAATAAAGCTAATAAAACGTTGTGAAAAGAAGATTTTTTTTCTTCGGGATCGGTTTACTTTATGACACATCATCAAAGGTATCGTTAGTACTATCGTCTGTCTTCGTTTTCGGGAGCGTTTCACAAATATCCGATATGTAATAATATAATTAAAAGCATTACTTAAATACCGGGTGTATTTAAGTAACAGAATGCAAAAAGTTGTTAACAGGAACGGGAATAGTTTTTTCGGGTCAATAGCAAAAAGAGAGTGCCACAGGTCCCATTTCAAGTTCATTTTTGTTTCTTGCCTATATTAATTATAATAATTGTAAAATGTGTTTTTTTTTTTAATGTGTCGCCGGTTTTTTTATAGAACTGAATTATTTTCTGAACCAGTGGTCAACTAAAATGAAAATGACTTTCAATAAGTATCATTTATATATAAAAAAAACCTTTCAGTGATTATGTGTGCCGTGATTCATAGATATTTATAGATTACCTACATCTTTCCTCAATTGAAATCAGGCACAAAAACTCTATCACCTTTGAAGTTAAACTAAAGTCCACGATTGTCATCATTATTTCCGAATGCGAGATTCTTTCCCGATCGAGCCGAACTGCCAGTGCTGCTGCCTTAATTTATTGTAGCGTAGCATTATCAGAAACAACCGATGATACACGAGATAAATGTCCACATGTGTTATGTAGATTCTAGTCTGTCTCGTGTTTTTTGTTTTTTTTTTATTATAATTTTTTTATTCACTCTCAAGATTTATTTAAATTTTATAAAGATAAATTGTTGGGCGTTTCATGGCCAGAATTGGACATTTACATTTGTGATTGTGTGTGCCGTGATTCATAGATATTCATAGATTACCTACATCTTTCCTCAATTGAATTCAGGCACAAAAACTCTATCACCTTTGAAGTTAAACCAAAGTACACGATTGTCATCATTATTTCCGAATGCGAGATTCTTTCCCGGTCGAGCCGAACTGCCAGTGCTGCTGTCTTAATTTATGGTAGCGTAGCATTATCAGAAACAACCGATGATACACGAGATAAATGTCCACATGTGTTAGGTAGATTCTAGTCTGTCTCGTGTTTTTTTTTTTAGTATTATTTTTTATTCACTCCCAAGATTTATTTAAAGTTTATAAATATAACACACTGGAAAATAGCGACTGTGGTCTGCGATGCCAAATGCCGAGTTTGAACTCTTTTCGTCAGGTTTGGCAACGTGTAATACTTTATTATTAGTCAAATTCAAAATAAGAAAATATTATATACAATATGGCGTTGTGCTTATGTGGTGAAATAAATATTTTCTTTCTTTCGTTCTTTCAATATCATTTTCTTTCTTTCGTTCTTTCAATCATGTCATTTGTAAATATGAATGATCACTGCGCAACCTAATCGTGCTAGTTTTAAGTTGTATTATTAGTGAAATTTTGTTATTTCTTTAGACATAACGTTTTTAACCTAATGAAAATTTTTGTAAATGTAAGCCCCGGAAGGAAGTCAAAGGTAGCGTGTGTACCTTAGCGGCGCACTGCAGCGCCAGCGTGCGCGCACACGCACTGAGCTTCTCCTGCTGCTCGAAGCTGAGGCCGAGGCGCAGCGCCGTGGCGTGCGACATGGCGGCCGCCGCCACCGGCCCCGTCGCCTCCGTCGGCGTGAACAACTCGTACCTGTAACAACACGCAACTTAATTAACACTTCAAATATTGCTTTACTCATCTGCACATCGCGATTGCTATGGAAACTTTATATCCTGTATCGCCAGCCAGAACAGTAAATAATGAAATGGTGTAGCTTATACCGCCGCCACAAGGGCCTATTAACTGAACTTTGTAAGGTAACTTGGCTAGTAATCCATATCCGGTTTGAAGAATCAAATTTATAAATAAACTAGCGATCCACCCCGACTTCGCACGGGTGATTTCTGAATCTCGTCAACAGCACCACTTACCGTGTCTATTGTGAATCTAACCCGTTGAATTAACTTAATCAAACACACACAAAATTTTATCGAAATCGGTCCAGCTGTTTAGGTAGAATTCAGTTACATACATATGAACAGAAGAACTATATAGGGTTATTTTTTAAAGACTAACCAAATTTAATAATTAAGCTCAAAATATAAATACTGATATACACTATTGCCGTTTTTAAAAATACGTTAACACACGAGCGCGCGTCGTTGTTGCCCATAGATCACATTTAATTTCGGATATTTTGAAATAAATGTAGAAGAAACCTTATTTACGCGTACTTTTTAAAACCGCAAAAGTATATATATTAATTATATATATTTTATTAATGAAAATCACTTTATTAAGAATAAGGCAATTATTGCTCACCAGTTCTGCATGATAGAGAGCAGGGCGTCGAGGCCCAGCTCTGTAGCACACGTGACTAGCCAGCGGACCATTTCACGCCGCCGCCAATTCACAGAGGATAGTGTCATGCGCAATACCTGCAAACAAGAATTTGGAAAAATAATTTTAATTTGTTTTGTTAAAAATTATTTAGAGGATGATAAATCTTGGATACAGAGTAACCTATTTTGCAGTAGCATAAGCAACTTTTACTTTGTAAAGTGTAATGAAGTGGACTTAGGTCGTGTTGGTGTGTACGCGCTTGAATGCTAAGTCAGTGTCAAACGAGCACACAGTTCTGCTCACATAGGTTTATATTATGGTACATAAATGTAGTACCAAGATCTCAGGTCCAAGACAGCAGTGAGTAGGTCGCGGTGATAATACGATGCCCGTGTGCGTGTGCACGTGTGTATCTGTGTGTGCGCGTGCTTGCCGATGAGGTCGCGAGGGTAGTAGGTGGGCATGTGCGTGTGTGTGCGTGTGTGTGCGTGTGCAGTGTGCACCTGCAGGCCCAGCTCGAAGGCGGCGGCGAGCAGGTCGCGGTGGTGGTGCGGCGCGTCGGGCGGCGCGGCGTGGCGCAGCGCGTCCTGCGCCAGGCGGAACAGCTGCGCGGCCGAGCGCACGTGCCGCTGCGCCGCCGCCAGCGCAGCGCGCAGCCGCGCCGGCGTGCCCCGTGCTGCGCCTGACAAATATTCACACACGCTATTATAGTACATAAAGTCTAATAATCATCCGGTCACGAGATGGCGCTAGTTGGAACTGGGGTGAAGTTTTTTGTTACACAATGTCACGTAATTGAAAAGTTACGTTTAAAATAAAAGTTTATCGGTTTCTGGAATATTACGTGAATATCCAAAAAATGACTCAGTCATTTGCTCTTTAATTATTTTTTTAATTTATTTATTATTGAATTTATGATACAGTGGTGTTACTAAATTCTAAACTCGTAAAACTTTTACGTTCGATGGCTACTTTTAGGAACATCTATAGTTTGGTTTATTCATTTCTAAGGTAATTAATATAAAATATAATTTATTACAAAAACATTACACCGTTAAGTACCTACGTCCGCTCGCCCAGGCGACAGCTGACAGTGTTGACCGTGACCTCATTACGTAAGCTTCGTTACCAACGACGTAACGAAAATATTCGAACCGTGAATACTATGAAAGTATTAAATGGTGCGATATTACATTCTATGCAATGAAAGATTACGTGGTGCGCATATACTACTAGATACTAAAATGAGTCTTTACCGCGGCAAGAAATGAACGTACGTGTCGTAATTAACCTACCAATTTAAGAACAATTGACGGATAATCAAACTATTCAAGTGCAGTGAGCGATAACTTAAATAGTGAATATGAAGATATGTGGATTACGCTCAGAGGCCCCATGCTATGGTCTACAAGCTCGCCGGAACTTTCACTGGAGGCCCAAAGTTGTAAAGACCGCCACAATAAAGTTATTGCTGAACACACGAAGTTAAAAGTGCTCAAGAACAGGTAATAAGTGTAAAAAATATTTTAAGAAAACGTGCTTGTCTATGCATAAAAAATGTTATGCTAAAAAACTTTGAGTTTACGTTGTGAATAAACGGTTATTTAATACATGGTGTGTTCGTTATTCTCATCCTCACAAAAGAAACGGATTCCATTTTGAGGTAGGACATACATTAGATATTAGGACTACTTGTGTAATTTAGTCGTAAATAGTTTATTCCAATTTTTTAAAACGCCACGCACAGGGGACTATATGTAACACCTATAGTAAATAAATGCTTGTTAAAGTTGCCGTGTCCTGTGATCGCACTTGTTACTATCCTGGACGGACATAAGGACAGCCATCGGTTAGGTCGTTGATAAGCAAAAATATATTTTTTAATTTAATTTATTATAACGATCATACGCCCGTTAAGTGTAAAAGGAAAATTGGAATCACAATTCACGTCATGTAGTATTTATCTTAAGCATTAGTAGTAAAGTCCAAGTCCTCGGGCCAGTCGGGATCAAATCCAGTCCGAAAGAGAAGCTATGGTAGAGCGTGTGAATCTCACACTACAGGCAGTCTCCGATTGGGGCAATGCCAATCTTGTGAAGTTCAACGCCTCCAAAACACAAGCGTATCTCTTCACTGCAAAAAGGAGCCTGCTCACCTTGGCTCCTTCTTTCCGAAATGTATCACTGAAATATACCGACCGCCTTCAGTTGTTAGGGTTTTTAAATATCCTCAAATTTGAACTTCGGGCGGTTCATTGAGTCCAAGGCCAAAGCAGCTGCAAGGAAGCTAGGAGTCCTTGCAAAGGTGCGCCGATACTTCACGCCGGGACAGCTGCTTACTTTATATAAAGCGCAAATCCGGTCGTGCATGGAGTATTGCTGCCATATATGGACTGGTGCTGCAAAATGCCACCTAGCAGCTCTGGACTCAATGGAAAAGCGTGCTAAGAGGCTTATTGGTGACCCGAATTTGGTTAAAACCAATCTTAACAGCCTCGAACACAGACGTAAAGTAGCCAGCCTTTCGGTTTTCTACAGGATGCATTTCGGAGAGTGTGCGCAGGAATTACATAATTTAATTCCCCCCTCTCCCTTCCACCATCAGACAAATAGACGTTCGGGCAGTCTCCACCCTTTCGTTGTTGACTTACCACGCATTCGAACCAAACGGTTCACCACGTCGTTCATCATGCGTACAGCAAAGGAGTGGAATAAGTTGCCAGCATCTGTCTTTCCATCCGATTACAGTGTGTGTGTCTTCAAGGCAAGAGTGAATAGGCTTTTGTTAAGTCAGTGCGCTTCACCATCTTAGGCTACATCACCACTTACCATCAGGTGGGATCGTAGATAAGCGTTGGCTTAGTAGAATATAAAAAAAAGCGTGTCACTAGGAAAGTAAACAGTAGGTAACAAAAACTTGAGAAAACGAGAATTGAATCACACACACAGGAGTGCTCCTATGAGTAGTTGTTGCCCATAAATCACATTTAATTTGGGATAATTTCAAATTTGCGTATTTAAAAAAAATGTAATATCGGTATATAATAATGTATTTATTTAAACTTCAATATAAAATTTGGCTACTCTTTGAAAAGTAATCTGTTTACACAATAAAAAAAATATTTATATCATATCTTTTACTTATTAAATCTCATAAAATTACCAAATGCCCAGCATCGCGCTTGACAACAGCACGTCCTAGTGACTCTGTATATGCCCATCACAGCGTTCGGCGAACATGTTCAGAATACTGTTACGGCCGCCACGCATTTTTTCCAACAGGAATACACAATTTTACGCATTATTGCGAAGAGTCATCTGTCTGCAAACTACCCTAATGCGATACAAAAGAGAGGCAAAAATGAGAAGGTGAAAATGAGAGCAATGTGTGAGAGTTAGATGCGGTACCGAGCAAGGCGCTGGCGAGCGCGGCCTGCTGCTGCTCGGCGTGCTGCAGCGTGTGCCAGGCGCCCGCGCCGCACGCCGCGCCGCAGCCCGCGCCGCCCGCGTCCAGCGCGTACGCCTCCTCCACCATCGGCAACCTGCACACACCAATACTTTTCAACTAAATTTTTTGTAGGAAAACTGCTATAATGACGTAGTGGAGAAATTTAGTACAGTATTTAAAAAAGTCACCTTTTCTAGTAAAGTTTTCTTGTAAAGTTGATTAACAACCATTATTACTTTATAATAAAGCTGTAATATATGTATATAATCATATAGTAGGTTTTATTAAACATGAAAAATCATTATTTATTTTCCAGTAAATTGTTTTACGCAGCCCGACTGATTTTTTAATAATTGTTATAACCATTAAAGTTGTTTGTGAGTTGCGTACCTCATGGCGCGCAGGCCCACGCGGTAGGCGAGGTCGGGGTCGTTGGGCAGCAGCGCGAGGAAGAGGTAGCGCGCGAAGGTGTGCGCGGGCGCCGAGCGCGGGTGCACGCGCGCGCCCAGGCACGAGGCCGGCCCGCCCGCCAGCAGCGCGCCGACGAGACGCTCCTCCTGCACCACAACGTACCTCATGGCGCGCAGGCCCACGCGGTAGGCGAGGTCGGGGTCGTTGGGCAGCAGCGCGAGGAAGAGGTAGCGCGCGAAGGTGTGCGCGGGCGCCGAGCGCGGGTGCACGCGCGCGCCCAGGCACGAGGCCGGCCCGCCCGCCAGCAGCGCGCCGACGAGACGCTCCTCCTGCACCACAACGTACCTCATGGCGCGCAGGCCCACGCGGTAGGCGAGGTCGGGGTCGTTGGGCAGCAGCGCGAGGAAGAGGTAGCGCGCGAAGGTGTGCGCGGGCGCCGAGCGCGGGTGCACGCGCGCGCCCAGGCACGAGGCCGGCCCGCCCGCCAGCAGCGCGCCGACGAGACGCTCCTCCTGCACCACAACGTACCTCATGGCGCGCAGGCCCACGCGGTAGGCGAGGTCGGGGTCGTTGGGCAGCAGCGCGAGGAAGAGGTAGCGCGCGAAGGTGTGCGCGGGCGCCGAGCGCGGGTGCACGCGCGCGCCCAGGCACGAGGCCGGCCCGCCCGCCAGCAGCGCGCCGACGAGACGCTCCTCCTGCACCACAACGTACCTCATGGCGCGCAGGCCCACGCGGTAGGCGAGGTCGGGGTCGTTGGGCAGCAGCGCGAGGAAGAGGTAGCGCGCGAAGGTGTGCGCGGGCGCCGAGCGCGGGTGCACGCGCGCGCCCAGGCACGAGGCCGGCCCGCCCGCCAGCAGCGCGCCGACGAGACGCTCCTCCTGCACCACAACGTACCTCATGGCGCGCAGGCCCACGCGGTAGGCGAGGTCGGGGTCGTTGGGCAGCAGCGCGAGGAAGAGGTAGCGCGCGAAGGTGTGCGCGGGCGCCGAGCGCGGGTGCACGCGCGCGCCCAGGCACGAGGCCGGCCCGCCCGCCAGCAGCGCGCCGACGAGACGCTCCTCCTGCACCACAACGTACCTCATGGCGCGCAGGCCCACGCGGTAGGCGAGGTCGGGGTCGTTGGGCAGCAGCGCGAGGAAGAGGTAGCGCGCGAAGGTGTGCGCGGGCGCCGAGCGCGGGTGCACGCGCGCGCCCAGGCACGAGGCCGGCCCGCCCGCCAGCAGCGCGCCGACGAGACGCTCCTCCTGCACCACAACGTACCTCATGGCGCGCAGGCCCACGCGGTAGGCGAGGTCGGGGTCGTTGGGCAGCAGCGCGAGGAAGAGGTAGCGCGCGAAGGTGTGCGCGGGCGCCGAGCGCGGGTGCACGCGCGCGCCCAGGCACGAGGCCGGCCCGCCCGCCAGCAGCGCGCCGACGAGACGCTCCTCCTGCACCACAACGTACCTCATGGCGCGCAGGCCCACGCGGTAGGCGAGGTCGGGGTCGTTGGGCAGCAGCGCGAGGAAGAGGTAGCGCGCGAAGGTGTGCGCGGGCGCCGAGCGCGGGTGCACGCGCGCGCCCAGGCACGAGGCCGGCCCGCCCGCCAGCAGCGCGCCGACGAGACGCTCCTCCTGCACCACAACGTACCTCATGGCGCGCAGGCCCACGCGGTAGGCGAGGTCGGGGTCGTTGGGCAGCAGCGCGAGGAAGAGGTAGCGCGCGAAGGTGAGCGCGGGCGCCGAGCGCGGGTGCACGCGCGCGCCCAGGCACGAGGCCGGCCCGCCCGCCAGCAGCGCGCCGACGAGACGCTCCTCCTGCACCACAACGTACCTCATGGCGCGCAGGCCCACGCGGTAGGCGAGGTCGGGGTCGTTGGGCAGCAGCGCGAGGAAGAGGTAGCGCGCGAAGGTGTGCGCGGGCGCCGAGCGCGGGTGCACGCGCGCGCCCAGGCACGAGGCCGGCCCGCCCGCCAGCAGCGCGCCGACGAGACGCTCCTCCTGCACCACAACGTACCTCATGGCGCGCAGGCCCACGCGGTAGGCGAGGTCGGGGTCGTTGGGCAGCAGCGCGAGGAAGAGGTAGCGCGCGAAGGTGTGCGCGGGCGCCGAGCGCGGGTGCACGCGCGCGCCCAGGCACGAGGCCGGCCCGCCCGCCAGCAGCGCGCCGACGAGACGCTCCTCCTGCACCACAACGTACCTCATGGCGCGCAGGCCCACGCGGTAGGCGAGGTCGGGGTCGTTGGGCAGCAGCGCGAGGAAGAGGTAGCGCGCGAAGGTGTGCGCGGGCGCCGAGCGCGGGTGCACGCGCGCGCCCAGGCACGAGGCCGGCCCGCCCGCCAGCAGCGCGCCGACGAGACGCTCCTCCTGCACCACAACGTACCTCATGGCGCGCAGGCCCACGCGGTAGGCGAGGTCGGGGTCGTTGGGCAGCAGCGCGAGGAAGAGGTAGCGCGCGAAGGTGTGCGCGGGCGCCGAGCGCGGGTGCACGCGCGCGCCCAGGCACGAGGCCGGCCCGCCCGCCAGCAGCGCGCCGACGAGACGCTCCTCCTGCACCACAACGTACCTCATGGCGCGCAGGCCCACGCGGTAGGCGAGGTCGGGGTCGTTGGGCAGCAGCGCGAGGAAGAGGTAGCGCGCGAAGGTGTGCGCGGGCGCCGAGCGCGGGTGCACGCGCGCGCCCAGGCACGAGGCCGGCCCGCCCGCCAGCAGCGCGCCGACGAGACGCTCCTCCTGCACCACAACGTACCTCATGGCGCGCAGGCCCACGCGGTAGGCGAGGTCGGGGTCGTTGGGCAGCAGCGCGAGGAAGAGGTAGCGCGCGAAGGTGTGCGCGGGCGCCGAGCGCGGGTGCACGCGCGCGCCCAGGCACGAGGCCGGCCCGCCCGCCAGCAGCGCGCCGACGAGACGCTCCTCCTGCACCACAACGTACCTCATGGCGCGCAGGCCCACGCGGTAGGCGAGGTCGGGGTCGTTGGGCAGCAGCGCGAGGAAGAGGTAGCGCGCGAAGGTGTGCGCGGGCGCCGAGCGCGGGTGCACGCGCGCGCCCAGGCACGAGGCCGGCCCGCCCGCCAGCAGCGCGGTCGCCGCGCGCGCGCACACGCCCGCCACCGCCTCGCCCTCCACGCGCTGCAGTGCGGCGATGAGCCGCTCCTCCTGCACCACACCGCACCAAGGTCATTACCGTTACGGCCTAGCGTTAGAAAGCAGCTTAATGCTACTGTGTTTCGTATACTGAGTGTAGAGAACTGGGAACCCTTTATATCCACTTACCATCAGCTAAACTGTGTGATCGTATATCACCCTTATTCTATACTAGCTGTTCCCCGTTCGCCCGCGTGTAATTTAAGGTTTTAATTTTGTTGCGCGGAACCATAATTATTTTTCTAAAATGTAAGTAGCCTAAGTTACTCCTTATAACATCAGCTATCTAGCAGTGAAAGTCCCGTCAAAATCGGTCCAGCCGTTTCGGAGATTAGCCGAAACAAACAGACAGACAGACAAAAATTTATAAAATTGTTATTTTGTTATAGGTACCGTATATACTTTAATATGCAATTAGTAAAAAGCTGTTATTTTGACATTACAAACAGACACTTCAATTTTATTTATTTATATTTGTAGTCCACTGCTGAACATACGCCTTCTCTATAGATTGCCTCATAGGAAGATTTTACCATAGTTATCATCCCTGGCAACAGCAGTTTTATTTTTATTTTTAGTCGTTATTAGGAAGACCCTGCTCCATCCAGACAGTCCATCTCCTGGTTTGTTTCCCTCTAGTCGCCTCTTACAACACCTACGGGATTGTGGGCAGTGAATATTATCACACCGCCACCCGCACCACGGTTATTACTAAGTGTAATAACTTCAACTTATATGTATTTCGTTCGCGGTTTGACCGCTATAACCACAGAATAGTACAAGAACAGAAGGATCACTCTCTGATAGCAAACTTGCGAATTTAAGCCTAGTTTCAACATCCCTAATGTTTATAATATTTTGCACCCCTCAGATACAACCTTCGTTAAATTAGCCTACCGATTAAATCCTCGAAAAGTAATTAATGCGGCGCGCGTATGAAATCATAATGCACCTTACAGCTGCGTGCGAGATTTTGTATCACTTAGCCCGTTACACGCCTTTATTAAGCGGCTACTCCATGCGAACGACCTTGAGCATTTTGCCGGCGGCGCGCCGCTCGCTTCAATATATTGCTTAATATGAAATATGTAAGACGCCACCTATTGTAGGTAAGAACGTAGTATTATTTTTTCAACATCAATAAACTAATTTATGGAAATACACACAGCGTACAACGATAAATGTATTTTAATTTTTTTATTCGGTATTTTAGTTGCATTATATTAGAATTATGTATTTTCATATATTATCTAATTATGAAATTTTATAATTAATTATATATTAAAAATGAAACATTGAAAATTGTGAGTTTAAAAGATACCTATTCACTATAGGTAAATAAATAGATAGCTCGCCTTTTGTACAAATATTTGGTGCAATAAAGAATAAATAAATAAATAGGATGTTTCGTAGATGTGTTTTTGATTATTGTCAATTTTACGTGTCACGTATTGAAAAGTAACATAACTACCTACAAATTTTTGAACTGAGCACCTTGTAACTTAGCCTGCTTATTACTTATGCTGGCAGACATTATCCTCGCCCCAATGATTGATGAGGATGAATATCAATTTTATTTCTACATACGTAATTATATTTATTTATACATAAGGGTAACTTTAATAAAGGTATAAAAATCAACAAGAAGTATAAGGGTTCAATCTTTCAATTTCAATTGTAAAAAAACGTTACCCCCACACTAGGATTTTCTCCTGTGTCGTGGAGGCAGTTTACAAACATAAATTGCACAAGGACATACATCCAGACCCGGAACAATTATTTGTAGACCATACAAATACTTGTTCCGTGCGAGATTCGAACCCGCGGCCCCCAGCGCAACAACTGATTGCTAAGCCACTGCGCCACGGAGCCGTCGCCGGGTTATAGCTAAAGTGACCATACGTCCCGTTTTGAACGGGACTGTCCCTTTTCTCGGTCACCTGTCCCATTGTCCGGGACACAAAATTGTCGCGTAACTCGTTGGATAGAATTATTCAAAGTCAACAATCTTCAACATAATTTTTTTTAATCGAATATATTTTATGTCCACCTGGTACGAATGTTCCGGTAGAAAGAGTATTTTTTTATTTTGAATATATTGTGGACGTCTGAAAGAAACACTTACGGTTCCAGAGTTCTAGAGGCGATGTTGTTAACAAAGATAACAATAAAAAAACTTGAGCAGAATTTTATTCTTATTTAAAATCATCACCAACTTTATTAAAGCAAATTTAATCCACTGACAAATGTAATTAATAATTAAAAAAATATGTTGCATTTAATAATTACCGTCTATACCGAATATAATTTTACAGTGAACACTAATTGTATAAAGTTATAGTTTTTAGAGTATAAATAAACCCATGTCCTGTTTTGAGTTAAAAAATAAATGGTCAGTTTAGTCTTTTTAGTTAATAGTAAAAAGTAGGTATATTAGTACCTACTTAGATACTTTTTACCGAATTATAAGTATAGAACACCTTATGTACTCAATTATTTTTTGAAAAAGAAGAAAAAACAAGCAATAAATAATATAGTATATTTTAGCAAAAAACTATAACTTAGTAATACTAATTATAACTTAGAACATAAATGAAAAACTCATAAGACTTTTGGGCCCGACCCAGGATTCGAACCCGGGACCTCATGATCAGCAGTCGCACTACTACAACCACTGGACCAACGAGGCAGTACTATACCTAATAAGATATTGTGGTTGGGTGATAATATTGAATTAGCCTTTTATAGTGTAAATTATAATATTTGTCGAAATTTTAATTATGGATTCGAACCTTACATGCTAATGGTGCTTCATTTTTTTGTTTGCATTTACTTCAAAGAAAATACACGCAAAAAGCTTCATCGCGCAGTAAAAAACACAACAAATATATGTATAACTAATACGAAAATTTATACCCAAAACAAAGAAATAATACTACCTATAAATAACCAAATAAGTAATAATATTATCGACTGATATGACGTGAGCGTATGCGCTGGTCGACGCTCTAACGACACGGGCTTCACGTCGAAGAGCTCGGCGCTCACTGACTTCAGCAAGCCCGTGGGCAGTGAATATGCCCAGATTTTAAAATAATTTCTTAATAAAATCAAATTTTGGTCTTTTGAAAAAAAAATTACTATAGAAATGTTCATTAATAAATTGCCTATCCATTGGTGTAAATCGCAAAATAAAATAATACTTACTTTACGAGGAGATACATGTTATCAATAATAATTTAACATTTATGTGGTTTAGTTGTAAGGAGATTATATTAATATTTATTCCTTTAAAAAAAATTGGATATAGCTTTTATGGAATCAAGATTATGTAGAAATATAATGTGTTTTTTATTTGTTGATATATCTTTTAAATAAAAAGTAGATAGCTCCTAAAAACCGCACAAATAACGACTAGCGCGACATTTTGCTCAACCTGCGCCTTAAGGCCGCTCCTACTGTAGGATTAAGTGTTGTGAAAAAACAAATTAAATTCTTTGATATTAGTTGGTAGTCGAATACACCAAAGTGTTATGCAATGTGTGGCCGTGGTAAGGAAAAGGGAAGATCTTCTGCCGGGCAAGATGTTAAGCCCGGGGTGCAGCCAACGTTCCCAATGGTAGTTCGGAGCTATTCTATATACTTATACTGTTTTTACTTCGGAACTTTAATAGCACGATAAATCGTGACTTTCTATATAGTTTCGCTTGTGGCGTGGCGACTGCGCCGCCACATCACTTCCCTGCTCAGACCGGAGGTCGATAATACACTGCAGTCCGATTGCCGGTGCCTCTCTAATGCCGGTGGGGAATGCATGTTGTATGCGTAAGGACAAGTGACGCCGGTGCGAAAGATATGTGCCGGTGTGTAATGCATGCCGTACTACGCCCTTAAAAGTGAAACCGGTGAGAACGTTGTGCCGGAGCAAGCACCAGAAGTCTGCTTTATAAATCTGCGGTGAGTCAAGATGAAGACAAGTAGGACTGGCTTGCAGGAGCTGAATACTGCAGAAGACGATTCTTGAGAATGCTTGGTAGGGGTTCTTGAGGATAATGACGAAGGCTTAAAAGTTATAGTTTCCGATTTTCCGAAAGTTGTTGGTTGCGTGTTCAAATCACGTCGGTTGGTCACCAATTTGTCCATGAAAGGAAAAGGGGAGATCTCCCGCCGGGCAAGGTGATGAGCCCGGGGAGCGGCCATCGCTCCGTGTGGTGATTCGGAGCTATTCTATATATGCTGTTTTTACTTCGGAACTTTAATAGCGCGATTTAGACTTTCGATGTTAAATACGATAGGTAAATGATAAAATTAACAGATATCTGATTCAATCTGTGGAAACCTGCAAACATAATATATTTTGCAGGTTTCCACATGCATGATATTATAACTACTATGTGTGATGTAAACATTGTGCTCCCGTAATTTATTTGTTTAAAAATAATTATTCAACTGTATCGTGTTAGATTTACCAAAAAAGTGGAGAAAACTGTTCAATACGTGTGTGAGAGTGTTATCAAGACATATAATATGCAAATTAGATTGCATTATTGTGAACCTTACGGCGAACTATCAACAGCAATAAAATCTGATATGTGCTATCTTATCCCAAAACAATACTAAATATATCATAAATCTATTAATAAACAGTGAGACAAATAAAAACAGAAATATAAAACAATAAATACTTTAGAATCTTAAAGACTTTATATTTGTGATTTAAAGTGACGGTTGAAGAAAAATTTTCAAACAAATACAAAACGCTCCTAACGAATCCGTCACTTCATATTTGTTTGTAATAGAACCACTATTTTAGCAGAATAAGTAAGATGTAACGGTGGCGTATTGGCTACGCACTCGATTTGGTCAATTGAAGCCGCGAGATCGAATCTTCTAACCTACACAATTTGACTTTTTGTGAATGTTTTAAGTTTAAATTTGAATTCTAAACACTATAAACAAAACAAATGGTAACGGAGTGTGAATAATATAATATAACTCACTGGTAACAGACT